GTAGATCACCGGAACTGCAAGCCGGAGGTTGCAGGTTCAAAACCCGGCTCCAGTCAGTGTCTTTGTTCACCTTTAAAACTTGATAGATTGAACGGCACTTGTAATGTGAACTGTATAAACAAACTAGTTAATGGTATTGATGAAGGGCTGCCAGAATTCAGTACAAATTCAAAAGTTTTCAATATTTTGTTGTTTACTCACACTAGATTTAACAGTGAAATGTGACTTGGTTTAATATTCTTTCCACTTGGTTTCACAGTTGTCCTTTTTCAATAAAAAAATGGTGCATTACAGTCACAAATTGAGTTTGATACTTTGAATGTGACTTGGTTATGAGTAAGTCTACTTTTGAAGTTTAGAGCGGCAGGTCCACGTTCTGAGAGAGTTTCATGTATCAGTATATATGTTCAGCACCTTAATTGTTCCGGAGATGTTTGGGGAAGGGTGTGGAGACATTCTATATCCTGGGACAGAGTGGCTAAGCAAGTATCTGTGCCACAAAAGCTAAAGTGATGGTATGTGTGAATTTGATGAGACATTTGATTTTGGCTTATGTAGCACGATTAGTCTGTGCTAAGCAATCGTTTGTGTGCTGTGGTGAAATGACCTGTTCAGTATGTTGTTTGTTCATGTCTGGCTAAGCAAGTATTTGTGCCACAAAAGCTAAAGTGATGGTATGTGTAAATTTGATGAGACATTTTATTTTGGCTTATGTAGCACGATTAGCCTGTGCTAAGCAATTTTTTTGTGTGCCGTGGTGAAATGACCTGTCCAGTATGTTGTTTGTTCATGTCTTAACGTAACGCCCAACCCAACCCTTCAAGGTGTCTTGTCTTGAACTGTCAATTCCTCCATGTCAACAACCGAGGAAAATCCGGAAACTTCCACAGACAGGGTGTAATTGATGGGCTTGATGCCATTCGACACTAGGGAGTGCTGTGGAATCTTGTATCAATAATGTGCAATTTTTCCATCCACCGTTTTTACTGTTAACTGTACATTTAAATACATTTATCAGTGGCTTGGATGTTAGTTGTGTCTTATTCCACATGTTTTTTTACCCCACGAACTGTAACAGGTGTTTTTGTTCAGCAAAAAAATCTGGAGGGGGGTAATGATCCAATGGCCCATCTTTCCCCCCCCCCCCATCAAAAAGTGTGTGAGGCGGATGTATCCACCCCATCTCCATGGATTTATGCCTGTGAACACCATCATGACTTTATAAGCACTAGGGCCTATATCCTACACATTAAAGCCAATGTTGAAACGGATGCTCTCTCAAATAACGCCCTCTGTTGTGGACTTACTGGCAAGGGGCAAGCTCCATCTCTTTCCTGTAGCTACAGTGGCGTGACTAACTTCCTCAGTACATTCAACCAAGGAGACGTCTCCAAGAATGTGTCCGAGAAAACATGCACACAGACACACATGCATTATGAATACTGAAAGCCAGTGTGTGTGAATACTACGAAAACCCGTGGTGTTGTTAAAATGGGATTAAAGGGGATTTTATTTTTATGAGAGGTTTCAAAATCACTTAAACATTTACATGTACATTAGATGTGAGATGAGACGTAACGTTGCAAACCCTGTGCTCTTCAACGAATTCAATTTTTATTTTTTCTATTAATACTTCTCAACTTTTATCTTTTATTCCAACCAAAAAAACTTCCTTTTTCTTTTTCTGGGCATCTGCAACCCTCAGAGAAAAAAAAATTGTTTTGGGCACAAACAGATCCGCTTTGCAAGCAGACTGGTCTGTACATTATCGATACTGATCATGGGGTGAGAACCTTAACCTATACCCCCGAGTGACTCAAAAATGCCAATCTAGAAGGGGAATCTATTTTTCGGGATGAAGCAAGAAAATAGAGGGGAACACACCTTTATATCAGGACTGCTTCCTGCCATGATGAACTTTGACATGAGGTCAAGTTTAATTAAATGTCAACCTTCTCAGAAATAAATACTACCTAGCATATCTTTTTATTATAGCCTGGCCAATCTCACTTTAGGTATATGTATATGAAAAGCTGGAAGGCCATTTCCTGTGCTCATTCATGAGGACAGGTCCCCAGGCTATCGCCAATTACAGTCAATTATAACTCAGTCTGTAATTAGGTAACCTGGGCATCAAGGACAGCCAATCAAATTCACTCATTCCCTGACCTTATCCTGAGTTGAGTTCAGTTAAGCCTGAGGTCATGTGGTCTACTCCATCCCCTGGAGAGGAAACAGCAGGAGGTTAATGACTGTAATTGATATGTGGCACTAAATCCCTCATGTAGCATGTAGCATGTAGGTTTACATGTAGGCTGATGTTCACCATTACATTGTAGGCTGATATGTTCAACATGAAACAGATATATATGTTTCAAAATGCCATCCACATTACATTGCCAGTAATTGTATACCGGCAATGTAATGTGGGCTGTATTTTGAAGCAGATAAGACCATTACCTTTTACTTCAGAGATACTGATGGTGTCCGGCCTGACCAGTGACTTCAGACGTCTGATTGGTGCATAAAGAGTGGAGAAATGTGTGTAATTTCCTCATGGACTAATTGCTAGTTCATCATACATGTACAGTGGAACGCTGCTATAACGAACACCGTGGGATCCACACAAATTGTTCGTAATAGCGATCGTTCGGTATAGCGATTTTAAGGCGGCAATGATGCTCCGGTACTCACTTTTAAATAAATAGCGCTCTTCAGAACCTCACCCTGCATGCCCTGGTATGGGGTCCGTGCGCCAACGAAAGAGGGCGCCCTTTTACAAGATGGTGTCGGTTGGTCACCCCCAACTGTTCCTTCTTCGCTAGTGAGGGGGTACTTGTGAACGGAAGACTTTGAACTCATCCCGACAATTGAATTATGTAATTACATAATTTTTTAGCTTACTACCTACGGCGATAGGTGGCTTTACCCTTCTATTCCTTGGTGAAATGATAGCCACTCGTCACTTTCTGTTTATATTTTCAACAACAATGTTCAGTACGTTTTGTACACAAAAATAGGGAGCCAAAGACGATGTTCAGTTTAGCCGAATGTTCGGCATAGTGGTGTTGACGTTCCACTGTACCTCAAACACTTCCATGGTGTGCCGTGCTGGAACCAAACATTTCCAACACAAGAAAAAATATGTTAACAAGTTCATGTTGGAGGACTTGATAATATGCACTGGCTGTTATTATACCATGGAGAAATAAAACACACACACTTACACTACAGGCACACAGCTGACATGTTAAAACATCAAGATTGCCTGGACTCGCCTCCAGGTGACGTCTAAACACGCTAATCCCTCGTGCCTTTTTTACACACACACACACAAAGTCTGTGAAGTCTGTGGAGGCGGACTGCAGGTTGATCTTGAATTGGCAGTTGTCTACGGCCTGTTGTTCAACAATCTACGCTCCAGTGCACACCTCGGAGTATTGAAACATATGAGGTTTTGGCAAGAAATATCGTACAAATAATGTTGACAAGACTCTTGCGAATCAGTTTTTGTGGCGTTTGGCTGTGTATCAGAAGTTGGCTGCAATATTTTGCCTTTAGTGAAAATCAAAATTTCAGCTAAAATTATCTTGGCGCAAAGTGGTTAAGTTGGATATATTTGTGAACAAAATTCATAACTGCAATTCTTTTTGAAAGCTTTATAGATTTTTCTGCATTGCTAGAAAATAGGAAATTGTAAAGTGTTCACAAAGTGATCCATCGGGTACAAGCTCCAAGAGCGATTATGAATAGCAAACTACATGTACTTCCCCAGCAAATAAACAAAATGTTTGAAATCTTTCTCGATTGAATGGCAAATTTCAAAGTTCTGAGGTATCAGAGACAGGGGAAATTCCACATTTTGAACCTTTAATTTATCATTTTGATCTATACATCGCCTGCATGTAGGCAACTGAGCGGCACACTTATGAATATGGCCCAAAGTACAAATAGTTTCATCTGATTGGAAACAAACTTTTCAGTTTTGGGTGGCTGTCGGTGGCCATAATAAGTTTTTGAATTCAGCATGGCTGCTGCTTAACACTATGGTCAGTGTGAAGGGTTAGTGGTACGTTCTCCTGCTTGTACATTTGGTTCCCAAAAATGTTATTTGAAAGTGATAGACAAGTATGTAAGCATATTTAGATAAATCACAAAAAATTACAAATACAAGAATTCATTGCAAGGTCGTAATTTCAAAACAGTTTATTTTAAAAATATGTCTACATTCATTCATGCACACCATATTTTGGATTAACGTGCACAGTTGTGATAAAGATATGCATACAAATATTGTTCATTGTTAAAGAATCCTAAACAGTGGGTAATGTAGAATTAATTGTAACGAGTCACTGAATTTTGTGACTCAAGTCAAATCGAGTCATTTTAAGGAAGTGACTCGAGTCGAGTCCAGTCATTAGGTCAACAAGGTCGAGTTAAGTCAAGTTAAGTCTTGTCGAGTCGAGTCACAGTGTGGTCGAGTGGAGTCGAGTCAAATTTATCTTTGACTCCATTCAAGTCTCTGATATTTGAGCACCATCTTATAAAGTAAAGAATGGAATTAGGAGCACAAAGACATGTAAATATGCTGCATGGTACCCAATAGACAGTTTCTGCTGGACGTTTCTACCAAAGATCTACGTTACGGTTAACAAGAAGTGAAAGTTCGGTTTTATCTCTGGTTTGGCTTCGGGTCTGAAATAGTTTGTATGCTGACAACGTCAAACCAAATTGCAACATACGAAAGTCTTTCTGAGTAACTGATTATATAGAAAATATCAAATTATTTTTTGAAAGCGGGACATGCATCTTACCGGAGTTCTATCAAGGGCTTAAGAAATCGGCAAAAGTCGATGATGAAACCAAGAATTAGGAAATGTGTTACACATCTGTTTCCGGGAAAGTATTTTGTGTGCTACATTATAAAACCATGAGTTTGGAGTCCGTGATACAGCGTATATTTGTACGCAATAAACAGCCACAACTTGAAGGTAACGGGAAGTACGCAAACATAAAAAATTGTGCCGGTACCACAGTTTTGGGACTCGCGTGTTATGAGCCTTCGACTAGAGTCGAGTCTTCGGATGAGGGGAATCGATTCAGGTCGATTCATTTGCTTGCAGTGATCAAGTCAAGTCAGTTACCCATTGGGACTCGAGTCGAGTCAAGTCACGTCACCAAAAATTGTGACTCGAGTTGGACTCAAGCCGAGTTTTGGACTCGAGTCATTACAACTCTATGATAATGCTCCTTTCTAAATAGAAAGGGCATTGACTTTAACTTCCTTTTTTTCCCCTTTAAAAAGCATGTAGTAAAAATTGCAGAAATTGATTTTTTTTTTAATGTTGTAGGAAACTGTGAAAAATAGCCTCCCGCCCTCTGCAAGCTGTGACGAGTTTATTCATGATCATTTGAAAATGCCTGTGATGAGTCAATATTACTTTACAAAAAAACAAAACAAGTTGTTTAAGATATATTAAAAGCTTATGTACAAATATGCAAAAAAGAGAAACCTCCATTTTGTGGTAAAACAAGTTGAATATCAACCGATAAAATATAATTTAGAAACCTACATATTTTTTACCTACATCCTTAACATCAGTAGCAGTTTGCAGTAATTTAAATCATTTTTCAACGTGTATCCTTCGTGAGAATTTTCAACTGCAGTCTGTTAAGAAACATAGAGGAGAAACCCACTGAAGTTAACAGCCAATGCTTGAGGCGTTCCGTCTGTGGTCATCTCCAACCACACCTGATCATCAACGTCCAGCTGAACCGCAGCCATCGCTGACCGCTCTGTGGACATCAACTCAACAGATGCCCCCTTCTTGACCAGTTTCAGAATCCCCTCCCCGTACTCAAGATTGAACTGGAACACATACGTTCCGGCTGTTGAGGTGGTGAAGGCATCACCTTGGAAGTGCCCCCCAACATTGGAGACAACAACAGCAAACGGCACCCGTTGATTATTGAGATCCACTCTGTTGTGATAGTACCTTGCCGTGAAGGCGGATTGGCGGTAGGGAGCTATGGCCACTGATTTTCCCGGCTCTCCTGGAATTCCAGGAGGTCCTACGATACCAATCCCAGGGGACCCAGAAGGTCCTCCATCTCCTTTGGATCCAACATCACCTGATTCCCCCTTTTCTCCCTTCTCACCTGTTGGCCCAGTTAGCCCTGGTAACCCTGTTTGACCTTGTGTTCCTTTGACCCCCTCTAGACCCCATATTCCTCTCTGTCCTTTTGATCCTGGTTCACCAATTTCCCCTTTCTCACCCTTCTCCCCATCAGTACCTTGTTCCCCCTTGACACCTTTTTTGCCACTCCCTTTTGGGCCGGGGGCTCCTGGAGGTCCCTCTGTCCCATTGTTGCCTTTTTCTCCAGTAATACCCATCTCCCCCAGTTCCCCTTTCTGTCCTTTGTCCCCCTTTGTACCATTAACACCTTGCATCCCAAGGGATCCCATATCCCCCTTGATCCCATCAACACCCCCTTCTCCCTTATCACCTTTTTCCCCTGCAGGACCTGTAAGCCCTGGATTACCGATGTATCCTCTCAACCCCATAGGTCCAACCATCCCTATGTCTCCTTTAAAACCTAGCTCCCCTTTTAACCCCTTAATACCCAGATCTCCTTTATCTCCCTTATCCCCCATGTCACCCATGAATCCTGTTAATCCTTTTTGCCCAGCTTCACCCTTCTGACCCTTCTCTGCATCTACTCCATCCTTTCCTGGCTCCCCTTTAGGTCCTGTGGGTCCACCAGCTGGCCCAACGTCACCCTTGCTACCTTTCGGTCCAGGACCACCGGGGCCCCCAATCTCGCCCTTCAAACCCCATTTCCCAATCGCTCCTTGCACCCCAGGATCTCCTTTCTCACCGTTGTCACCTTGTACCCCTCTTGGTCCTACGTCACCCTTCACCCCTTGTGGGCCTATGGGGCCTGCAGGACCCGGGGGTCCTTCTGGGCCTTGATTACCTTTTGGTCCATTTGTACCCCATAACCCCGGAGGTCCCTGCTTACCCCTCCCTCCCCTATCCCCCGTATCTCCCTTAGCACCATGTTCACCCCATTGCCCCTCTTCACCCTTTTCACCCTTTGGTCCCTGTATCCCCATTAACCCAGGCTCCCCTTCTTTTCCTAGCACTCCAACAGGCCCAATATCCCCCTTTTTTCCAGGACGAGCCTGTTCCCCCTTTGCACCCTTTTGGCCAACAATCCCCACAGTCCCCTTATCTCCAGGTGGCCCCCTTGGTCCTGCGATACCTCTCATCCCTTTGTCTCCACTTGGTCCAATAGGCCCTTGATCACCCTTTGACCCATTCACCCCATGCAACCCCATCTCCCCTTTAGACCCGATAGTACCATTCTCACCTTTGGCACCTGTATCACCCACCATTCCCTTTGCTCCTTGTTCCCCCTTTAACCCTGGTTTTCCATTTTCACCATTTGACCCAGGAATACCCATTTCTCCGACCTCTCCTTTCTGACCTTTGTCCCCGTTTTCCCCCCTACTTCCATTTAAACCAGGCTTTCCAATCTCCCCGAGTGGTCCAAGTTCCCCAGGAGCCCCTTTTACCCCTTGTATACCCTGTTCCCCGGATAAACCCCTCTCGCCCTGTGATCCTTTCATCCCATCCTCTCCCTTCAATCCTGGATCCCCCTTGGTCCCTCTTGGCCCTGTTTCACCTTGAGAACCAGATGCGCCTGTCATCCCAGCTGGTCCTGTGTCACCCCTCTCCCCTTTGTCTCCCTTCACCCCATTCCTTCCGGTCGGTCCCTGTTTCCCAGGTTCTGCATCGGTTCCATTACTTCCCTTTTCTCCTTTCAGGCCTGGCTCACCTCGCAGTCCCTTGGACCCTTCCCGCATCAACTCAAGTTCTTCAGGACTCGTCAACTGTCCCTGTAGTCCTAGTGAGCTCACAAAGCTGACAGGTCCTCTCTCTCCTTTCTCTCCTTTTGGCCCCATCGGTCCAGGTCTCCCGACTTCACCAGGCTCTCCTGTCACGTTGGGAGGAGCAGGTCTCCCATCCATCCCTCTTTCCCCTTTGTTTCCTTTGATGCCTCGGTTTCCTTTATTTCCAAGATCACCTTTACCCCCCTTCTGGCCAGGCATTCCTTGAGGTCCTGGCTCTCCTACAGGGCCCACCGGTCCAGGCCAACCTTGATTCCCAGGAGCACCTTTGTCTCCAACAGCCCCTTCAGGTCCTGGAGGTCCAATCAATCCTCTTGGACCAGCGTCTCCGACAAGCCCTGTTGGTCCAACTACAGTCACACTGTCACCCTTCTCACCTTTCTCCCCTTTTCCACCGTCAACACCATCTTGTCCTCTGACCCCAGGAGGTCCAACAATGCCTTGCTCTCCTCTCATTCCATCTCGCCCATGGAAGCCGTCCCGCCCGGCATTTCCGGGCATTCCGGGCAGGCCTGCTGCACCGGGAGATCCTTGACAGCAGGGATTACATTGTTGATCGTTGTGCTTTGCTGCACTTGAATCTGTGAAGATACCATCTGAAGATGTAGTCATGTAACTCGGTGCTGGAGTGGCCGAATTTGTCTTTTCTGTCTTGTTAGCTGAGGAGTTTCCGACGTAGATGATGGCAAAGCCGACAATAAGCAATGTTGATCGTGTAATGAGATTTTCAGAAGTGACCATGTTGATGAGGAACCACATCTGCTGCTTGGTATATCCAATAGTATACGGCTAAATTATTCAAAATGGGAAAAAAATGCCATCTCTCATTATAAAAAAAGGTAGAAAGGTGTTGCAATAGTCTGTAGCTTTTCTACTGATAACAAAAAAAATGTGTTTGTCTCTAGCTTGAGAACTTGTAAGTCAAATTTCATCAAATTCATCATTTAGTGAAAAAACACCTGAAAATAAATACCACTGTGGCATAAGGTTGCAGATCTGCAAATAGACCCAGAATTCCCTACGTGGGCCAAATCACAAATTGCATGCCCTAAAATTCTCAGGTATTAGCACATTTTGTTGGCTGTGAGCTTTAGGATTGTCAAAAAGAAGGGTGGAAGCCGTATAGAGGGCTGCAAGCTCGTATTTCTGTGAATTGTGGATGAAATTAGGCCCTAAATTGGCTCTATTTGGCGATAGAGCATAGTCGTCCATTTTCAAAATGGCGATGGGCTTCAGGACTGCTTTTATGGGTCATCATCTTTGCAGTGAATTTTCTCCAAAAAGTCATCGGTTAAACCTCCAAAAAAGAACAGAAAATGAAAGATGATGAAATAAGCTTTAACTTGATGGCTGTCTCACACACCTTTGAGACTTGTGGGTATTTGTAATAATTTTTGGAAGTACGTGTAATTACCAGTGGGGTCTATGGGAGTCAATTTGCAGGTCTGCATCCATAAGAACTTCCAAGCTTCTTACCTTTTACACTAGTTGTCCTCTGATTCAAGTATCCAGTTCTTCTTTAGCTTACAAAGTACTCCTAAATGCCTGTGTCATGTCTTGAAGATCGTTGAGAAAAGTGCAAGTACTGCAGAGCATCTGCCTAGTCTAGTATAGTAGTTGACTGTCTAGGCCAATGACCTGCCCTTCTAGAAACACACCCCTCTGGGTTTCAGCATGCAGACTTTGAACCAAATCCAAAAGCAGGCCCATTAATTAAAATAAAAAAAATTCCAACCTAGAGGTAAAACAAGGATTTGTGATTTAAATCACAAGAACCCCTTTTCAAAACTGTCTGCTTTAATGGTTAATATGTTTATTTTGCATAAATTTGCATATTTGTTTGAGGATGTATAGTGGGGGAGGTGACCTTTAATTTCCTGCAACACGCAGCACCTTAGAAATGCCCTTCAGGGCAGTTTCCTGCCGATATATTTAAGCTAAGTTGGTGTCAGGGTGAACTCCCTCCAGGAAGGAAACACTTGGGCTACAACTTCCTTTATTTGGGAGACAAGAAAGTCAGGTTCAGTCTGCTCACATGAGTCGAGGAAGTCGCTGCAATCTTTTGATGCCACAACAACCTCTTGGCACTTTGCCTGAGTTTTCTCTAACTATACCACGCTAAAAACTGATTTCATTTCAGAGTAATTGATATATCTTTGTGTCATATCAGGCATTATTTGCGGTCGATATATTGTAAACATTTTATCAGCAAAAATGTCAAGAGTTGTTGCCATATACTTCTTGTTTAGAGAAAAGCAGTGAAAAAAATGCTGGTTATTTGTTGAGATGTCTTAGCCTGCCTTCAGCTTTACAAATTAAACTTTTAAGAACTGTGTTTAGGCTTTGCTTCATTTCAAAGATAACAATACACTGACACTAACAGAGTTAGCTCTGTTGAATTATTTTCAATGTTCAATCCCCAAAAAAAGCTTCTGGGGAATTTTCATTTTGATGAAATTCACAAATTTGAGATATAACATAAAAATATTCTTGGTTTTATTTCCCTGCATTAGGGGCTAGCATCCCACCTCCTCAGCCAGACTCAAGATGCTCGGCAGAAGTTGAGACCAGTCCCGAGACAACAAGATCCAAGCAGAGATGGTCTGAACGGATCACTGAGTCGAGCTCAGGGCATCGCGTCATCCATTCTCAACATGAGTGCCTCGGACCTGGATGAGTTTATGGCTAGCAGTGAAGAGGATGGAGACAAGGAGGCCAAGGTAAGGGGTCAGGGGTTGATGGTGGTGTCACTGATGGACAGACACTTTCTTATGCTAGTAAAGGGCACAACCATTAATAAAATGTACATATGTCATCACAAGTTGATTGCAGTTCCTAGTGCTGTGTCATATTGGAATTGGCAAATTCAGCCAAGCTGGTAAGTTATGATGTTCAGTAGAAGTTGCATTGTGTGTGCTCTTCAACAAATTCAATTAATTTTTTTCTATTAAGAAATTATCATCTTGTATGTTTTATTCCACCCCCCCCAAAAAAAAACCCCACCTCTTCCCCACCCCCTTTTTTTCAGATGTTTGCAACCCCCTGAACAAAAGGTTTTTGTTTTGGACACAAACAGATCTGCTGTGCAAGCAGACTGGCTCCCTGTCCGTACATTATCGATACTGACTGTGGGGCGGGAACCAGCCTACCCCACGAGAACAGCATTGTCTGGCAGCCAATAATTCTAAATTGTAAATGAACAGTTCAATAACTAACATCTGCCAATTTTTTTTTTGTCGATGTCTCGTTTAAAAGTGAATAACATTTATATATGGGGTTCGAGTCCCACCCGAGTGATTTTTTCCAACTTTCACTCTGGAGGTAACACACTGAGTATACAGTGTTTAAAAACGTCGGTGAAGGGCAAAACCTAATTTGAACATTTGTATAGCTAGAAAAATAGCAATTCTGAAAAGGAATCTATTTTTCGGGATGAAACTCAAAAATAGCACAGGAAGGAATGCAGCTTTAAGTAGTTGAGGTATTCGTATATTATTCCCTCTTTGAAGGGCAAAACCAACTGTAACATCACCTTGAAGCAAAGAGCCATCAAAGATCAACGATTTACCTTTTAAATTCATCTTATGAATAGATTTACCTTTTCTTTTCAGAACCAAGAAGAAATTGCTGAGAGAAAGCGAGATCAACGCTGGACCAAACAGATTGGCTCAGCTCTCTCATCATCCAAGGTCAGTTTATATATGTATTTCCTTACTGCTTACTCTGTCTTTGATTGAACGACAGGAAAACCTCAGCCCCCTCAACTCCCACTCACAGGAGGAAGGGGATGTAAGGAGACCAATTACTGATCACAGAAATGTTAAGGACAGTAAATGTTGGCTCTGTAAGGACTATAAGAAACATACTGTTTCCCCAGAGGAGAGCAACAGACCCTTTTAATGAGAACAAAAAATCAAGTGGGTACAAAAGTTCTTCTTGAAAGCTTTCAAGAAAACTTGGGACTTTGAAATGACCTTCAAGAAAACGTTGACGTTCAACAACCTTTGTAATTGTATTTGTATGTGCACCTGCTCACAGTACAGCCTCGGGACAAAACGAACTGTTTGACTTGACTTGACTTGACTTAGACCTATAATTACTCAATTACAACTCTGTCTAAACAGCAACAGCCATGTCATTTCATCCAAAATGTAAATACTGTTTGAAGACAACACCACCCAAAAGACTGATTTCTTTGAGACCCAGCCCCACCAACAGTTTCTCCAAAAACCTGATCCATGTAAGTTTTTTGAAAAGCGATCAGACCACCGTAGTCGTGGCATGGGTCGTGTTGATGCTGAGGGATAGCAATGATAGCATGGGTCGACACCCTGTTTTCTTTACATAGTGTTGAGAGAAATAGAGTCATTTGCTGGGGGGGAGAGTCTCTGTCCTATCGTGACAAGTTTGACAGGTTTACAAGTGTCGTTGGCCAGAAAGAGTAAATCTTGTGTTTGTGGTCACTTTAGTGTAAGGTGTGACAATTGTGTGGCTTGGCAGCTAGCGCCTGGTGTCTAGTGTCTACAGAAAGAGACTTTTATTGAAATATTAAAAGTTCTGTAATGATTGAATTTAAAAAGGTATTAATTATTCATTAGCCCTGACCCTGCTGAATCCAACATGATCCAACTATATCATATACCCGATGGAGCCTGTTGGATTGAGCAGTAAACCCCTTGTGTACATTCCTGATGCAAAATGTTGGATTCAGCAGGCAACTGAACTGCATTATAACGCCATGTTGGACTCCGTTGGATTAAGCAGACCACTGAAAATAAGGCACAGTGGATTGAGCAGGAAACTCTGGTTGGACTCTGTTGGATTTAGCAGGGTAGTCCTGAGGAACTACTAGGGGTTAGGATTAGGGTATCAAATAAATTATGAACATGTTGTCTTCATGAGATGAAGTTTGAAGGGCCACACTACTTTTTTTCTAATGTACGGTATGTCGCCAAAACACAAGGCCGAGGCCACTCAAACTAGTCCTGGGCTATAGAAGAAGTCACAGTGACAATTTAATTTTTTAGGCAATTCAACTTTGAAATTTTGATTTGGGTTTTAGATTCACAATCGCCTGTTCTCTGAGTTTGAAGAAATGTCAAATGTTACTGTTCCCTTATTTGAGGAGTCACGCATACAAGATTTTCACTACCTACACAACATGATACATTGAAACCTAGACCTTGATTTTGTTTACATTGTCGGATGAACGATTTGTGAGACATTGCACATTGATCAGCCTTGTTGTGGCCAACCTTTGACATTCAGTCACCACAGACAACCTGAGAGTTCCCTGCTTGGCACTCCACCAAAAATATATACAAAATCGCTCAGGAGGGAAGCGGGCATGACTAAGATCAAAATTGCTTTAAGGAAGAACTCGGCTCAGTTAACCTAAAAGTTGTATGATTTTCTTTTACTACGCAATTAATAAATTTAGTTTATCCAGTGACTGACACTATAATGTTAAACAGATTAACACCTGTACTATGTTGTATTACATTGTGTTTATTCCCTGATGAATTCATGAAAGCCGTATGGTGCCTGGGCGCTACAGGCACTACAGGCGGGGCTTTTATTGGGAGGGGGGGCCGGGGGAGGGGTACTGGGACTACTGAGTTAAACCAACTTGCAATAAATTTATTTAGAGTGGTATCTCTGTCATTTTGACAATTTTCTTTAAATTTTTAGACCATCCTACTTTTGTACTTTGTATACGTCTCTTATATCTTTTAATTTATCCAAGACACCCTCCCTCTCTTTTCGATTCACAGAAAATGTGATATACCAAGACTTGTTAACTTTTATGTAGCTAACACTGTGTTAAGAAGCCTGCATCCGAATTACTGGGCTACGGCTTACTATTACATATGCACCTATGGAGGTGGCCGAAGCCACTTCCTATAGGTATGGGTGTTACTGCACCTATGGAGGTGGCCGAAGCCACTTCCTATAGGTATGCGTGTTACTGCACCTATGGAGGTGGCCCAAGCCACTTCCTATAGGTATGTGTGTTACTGCACCTATGGAGGTGGCCCAAGCCACTTCCTATAGGTATGTGTGTTACTGCACCTATGGAGGTGGCCCAAGCCACTTCCTATAGGTATGTGTGTTACTGCAAGCCGTAGCCATGTAATTCAGACATAGCCTTGTAGTCTGATAAGGAATACATGTACTATGTATGTCAACTGCAGCACTCATCCACCGGTATCTATCTGTACAGAGTCAAGTGGACTATTACATTGTGCACTGCCTACTTAGTAGATTCTTAACACACTTGACACTTTTGAAGTATATCTCATAAACTCTCTGTGGAATGTCATTGGGCATCAGCATCAAGTGTGCATCTGCAATCCTCTAAAAAAAAAGGGTTTTAATTTTAGATTGCTTTTAAGCACAAGCAGGTCTGCCTTGTGAGTGGACCCTTTCCCAGTCCTTCAAGCATGCAACTAGTAATTTGGGGAAAAAACGAGGAAATTCCAAACCGTATGTTTTTCAATTTGTAATGGCATTCATGAGAAGCAAAAAAAGAGAAGAAAAAAAGAGGAAATCGGCAGAAACTGGCATGCCTAGTCCTTACATATTTTACCTTGATATGGAAGGGAACCAGTCTACCGTACATGAACTAAACAAATTGAAAATTGGGCAGCAATTATTCCACAACTAAACATGGGCCAATTTTTGTATTGATGTCTCATTCATAAGGAAATGCCTCTTGTTTCGCCCGAAAAAAGTCATTTAAAACCAAATCTAATTGTTGAGGGTCAAACTCAAAATTAGCATGAACAGAACATCTTCAATAAATATATTTTGCCAAGTCTGTGCTTGTTTATTATGTGCTCTTTGGTTTTCTTAACAGGGTTTTTTTTTTCAGATTGGTTTGTTTTTGTTTCGCACCTGCAGGTTTTGAGTGGTGATAGACTGTTGGAACTTTTCCTGAGTAAGCTGGAAGAGAGGGACCAACTTCTGTCCAGAGTGCAGCTGACGGAAAGGTAACAGGAAGTGCCATCATGGACCAGCTGAAATCACTCAAGATTCTCTTGCCTATTATTTAAATAATTTGAAATGTTTGTCCATTAACTTTTATTTGTTACTAATTTTGGACCTTTTGTGAATATTTTTGTTTTCAAAATTTTAGTATTTGCTAGTATTTGCTGAGCTTTTTAAAGGCCTTTGTGTACATATGCTGACATAGAATTGCAGATCAAATGAGGGAATTCCAAGTTTTGTGAAGTACTAGTACTTGTTTTTCATAGGAAATCGACTGCTTTTAATAAAGAAAAGTTTCTGTACCTGAAGTAAAATGCTTTGAAAAATGTAAAATATTTGCATTGTGTCGAAAAGGATGTCCAACAGGGGGGCAAAAATTTAATATAATAAAATGGTTTTGAAATAAAGAGAATTGTCTGTGTATTGATTCATATGTCAAGTGATGTTCAATATTAGGTTTTGCCCTTCAACGACTGCCTTTAAAAATACTGTATTGAATTTACATCACCCTGACACAAATTATGAATAGTCAAAGATGAATGTAGCGAAAGCACAAAGTTTTTATTTGTTCATTCAGCTGTCAACATCTTACAACTCCTTATGTACACATTTCACTCCTTTACAAAAATATATACAGATAAAAACAAGCTTTTGCTAAGCAAAATGGAAAAATCGTGAAATAGTCATGAATTATTGCAGTAGCCATGTCAAATTTTATCACTCTAGTCACTAGTGATAAAAATACAAATTTCATTTTAAAATGTTCAAGTATGTTCGCACTGTCGAGCAAGGCATCAATAAAACATCCACGACACATATTTACACATATTTCAAAGTGGCAATTAAACAGACCTCCTGACGAAATGTCAAAAACAGGTGCGAAGTATTAAGGAAACACTTGTTCATACAGGCAACTGGTAGTTGTACTAGAGTAGTACAATTTGTTCAGAAATTCCAAACTTTAAGAAGAATTTGTTCCTAGATTTAACATTGACGTTTGATCTTGGTATTCAGATTATAATTATAATTCTGTTATTTGATTGCATTGTTTGTTTGATAGGCACAGCACAAGTCCACACACCCAACACACATTTATAGCTACATGTATTTTGTTTACAAAGCAAAAATCTTGTACAAAGCATCAGCAGTCAAAGATAATATTTCTGGCAGATTTCTTTCCTGAAATTTGAAAGGGAAAAAGGCAATTTTTGGGCTTTGGAGTTTAAAAACACTTTAATACTCGGTCAAATGCATGGCAACCGTAACACAGGTATAAACATTTGAGCTGACACGTCAGCTTGTTGTCTCAAGTTTAAAAAAAGACTCTTTGTTTCTGCAGAAAATCTGCATCAAATAAAAAGTATTCAATAAAAATTATTTCATAAAGATTTGATAACCAGCTAAAATAATTGTACTCTGAAAAATTGTACTGCAGAGAAGTCCATTCATAGCTGCAAGATGATTGGAATCTCAATTTACATACAACTGAGCTTCATCAAAGTGACAGTGTGTTGGCCAATGGATAAAAAATAGATTTGTAGCGCACACGAGAGTGTCTTGACAGAAGTTTTTGACGTTCATCCAAAAATTCATCAGGAAGAAATTCATTTCTTCCGAGGCAAGCAGGGATAACACATGTGGACTACAAAACCAGTTGTGACGACAGAGTGATTGTTTAGCGATGATTGAAATGTCTTCCCCTATTGGTTGATTTCCTCTGTGTACTTGTTGCAAGTGGCGTTGTCTGAGCTGTGTACGGACTGGAAAAAAAAGTTGTTGTATAGTAATATAGCTTTTATGTTTGTAAAAATTCTTTGGCTGTTAATGAATAAAACATGTCCCCTCACCTTGGCTTCATTCCACTAGCGCCCTCTTGTGTCATCATGCTGAAATCTGGCTCCTCTCTGGAAAGAAACAGAGAAGGTAGCTTATTAAATTTTATGAACAACAACCATTGTGGCAAGAGCCTTTCCAAAATGCTGTAAAATGGTTTTTCTCCATCCTGACTGTCTTCACTGCGAGTTTACTTTCTTGTAAATAGGACATTTATTTTCCTGCATTTTTATATATTTTATAATGTGTAAAATCAAGAAATGTGTTAATTACAAGATTAGTAACAAAGCTACAATGTACAAAAAGTTCTATATTTAATGAATAACGATTTCAAGAACTATTCAGTACAAAAACTTGTTTACAAATTTGGGACTGTACCAAGCCTCTTACCTGAGGGGTATAAACTGCTCCTTGTAGCTTCTGTCCGTCTCATACAGAGGTCGCGACCTTCCAAAGGATCGCTCAGGGATTCTTGAAGCATCGTGTCTCAAGAAACCATCTCTAAGTTGCTCCTGCTAGAACAATCACAAACACAAAAAGTATTAAAACCAAAAAAAGACAGTTGCGCATGTCAGACTGATGCTTGTTAAAAAGGATTTGACAGTGAACATTTACAATGAGTGTAGTATATAATGTTGCCTCCTTTCATACCCATCTTTCTCGACCATGATCATTGGTACAGGATAATCATCATTGTACAGAATCCTGTACACAAATGCAAAGTGAATTACTTGATGTGGGTGTTGCTGGAAATCAGAACTAATCCTTTCTTAAGCTCTGGAAATTACAGGATTATATTACGGAGATGGGCGCAGGAAATTAAGAAAACCACAGCACCGAGAAAATGGCCCAATTTGATGGCCCTGCTAAGCACGGAATTTTCTGCTATTGAGCCTCCGTCTATTTCATGGAGTTTGAGCAGTAAGCACACAAAAGGCACGCTAATACCTCAGAGGAAAACATTGCTTAAATCAGTGATGTAACAGTAGAAATCTCCATGCGCACGCAACACGCCATGAAATAGTGCTTAAGATTAGTACAATTTTCTGCTTAGTGTTAAGCAGTGTTATGAAATTGGGTCAAGGTTATGCCCATGATACAGAGGGAGAGGGGGGAGGGGAAGGATGGAGCTTACTTCCTCATCAGGATAGGCCCGTCTGCAGGCCGCATTCAATTCCTCCTTCATTGTTGCAATGTGCTGCTTGTGGGATGCGATCTCTGTTTCCAAGGCAACCAGACGGGATAAAGCTGTTTGTACCGTATCCACAAATGCTGCCACGAGACTCTGGGTAAAAAAAAAATTGATTTCAGTAAATATGTAAATGCACTTGCGATAATTATGTTAACTGCTACCATAAAGAATTATTTCAAACTGTTCATGACTGCAAACAGTTATTTGCTTGGAGATAGTATTATTGCTGTCAGAGTAATTTCACTTTAAATTAGAAAAATATTATATGTTTACCTTTATTGCAATAACCTCAGCACTTATACCATCAAGTCCTCGCTCCTCTGGATGAATCAACACCTTAACAAAAATTATCGCAAACAATTATTAACATAAGAAAATATATAGTGGAAAATTTAGATTATTCCATTTGACGGATCTTCCATTCAATTGACCCTGTTCCTCCCCATCACGACATAGATAACACGATATTCTAGCCAGTAATACATTTTCACCAAGCTAAGTTTTGAGTGCTGACCAAAGGTTTAGTGCTTATCAGGCTCACAAAATCAGTCCCAGAACATGAAATGCAACTGCCTGGAAAAAAAAATTAAAAATGTATTAAATCCAATCTTGAGAACAAAAAAAAAAATGCAGCATTTGTTATTCACCTGTCTGAGTGCTGCATCGATGGATCGATTATCAGCTCGACCAATCAGCTGTCGCTTTGTATCCTCCACAGCTGCTTGAACAGCCTGCAAATAGCCTGCCAACTTGTCCTTGTCTCTGCTCAACCAAAATAAAGACAAAAACTTTCTATCATGTCAAGTGAATAATCTTAAACATTATATTACTCGCGAAAGAACCACTTTGAAGCATTCCCATGTAATCGTCTTTGTAACAGTTACAAAATGACAACAGTTTGTTTAAGCTGAAGACTTCTGGCTCTGACTGGTGATGTAGTCGAGTCCATCACAAGTCCGATCACGTGTCCAGTCAAAAAGTAAATCACAAGTCCACTTAAATAACAAGTGCAGTCTCAAGTTAGATCGGATGAAGAATTTCAAAGAAATGCCTTTGTCAATGGAACTGGATGACTTTTGCTGGACTTTTTGCTAGACTTGCGTGGACCTGCAGTGGACTTGACTGTAACTAGTGCCATCTCAAGTTGCCCAGGAAAATTCAGTTGGATATTATAGAAGTACAAGAGTTTAGATGTGGACGTACTTGTTAGAGGATCGTAGCACGCTCTGCACGTCTTGCACACTGCATTGAAGCGACTTCTTCTCTTCCTCAAGGGCAGACAATTTCTTGCTGAGTTGATGGATGGATTGATCCTTGCGACGTAGCTCCATCTTGGCTTCAGACAAACCCTGTCAGATAAAGGAGGGATCTCAATCAGATATAGTATCAAAAAGTCAGGGGTTCTGATTCAATTTGGTCTGCTCCTGTTCAGGGATGTTGATTTAGGCCCAGGAACTAAAGGTGGTGGTATGGTTTAATTTAAAGTTACTCCAAGAAACTATTTGTATATGGGCTCCGTGAGCCAATGAAAGAGGGCACCCTTTTACCTAGCAAAGACGTCCCATGGGCGGGACATTTCGCTGGTTGACGCGCACCGTTCCTTGTGTGTGACGCATGTACACCAGGGGATTCAGTTGTACATTTGTACTATGTACACGCAGTGCTAGTGGTGGCCGCGCTTCGCGGCAAAATTGCAGTCAGGCAAGATGGCGTCGGTCGGTCACCCCCAACTGTACTTTCTTTACTGGTGAGGGGGTACTTGTGAACGGAGCGGATACCCTGACTGGATGTCATGTATACATGGCTGGCAACTTCAGCGTTATGAAAGGAAGTGTTATGTTCGTGACAGAGCCAATTAACCATGATAAAATTAATAATGATGTAGAGAAATGATCCAAAACTCCTAGTCTGTAATCTCCTTTTAATACCATTACTAGATGATGCATATGTAAGATTTTTTTAAAAATCACGATTTTCAGATTTATGCACTGCTCTTAAAAAAGCTCTTAAAAGCTTGTCACAGACATTACGTAACACTGGAATCACCCACATGCATTGTACATTTCATTATTTGGTTGTTATTTCGGCTTGCCCACAATGATTGTGTTTCTTCACAATTCTGTACTGAGGGAGGGAGGCCAAGGGGTTAGGGTTCATGACTCATAATCAGAGGGTCAGGGGCTCGAATCCAGCTGCTGGTCATATGTTGTGTCCTTGGGCAAACCACTTCACCCCCACTTATGGAATATACTCTGATGCCTTCACAGTAATAAGGAAATCACACTTTAAACTATCTGTCACAAGATTGCAAATTTGTCGCATTCATATCAAAAATTGTGTTCGTCCAGCCACTCTTACCTTGACAGCTTCCGTAATGGTCGCATCCTTCTCTAATTCCTCCGTGGTGTACATGTTTAATCTCATTCCTAACTCCTCTAGTTGTCGACTCTGTTCGTTCAGTAAATCTTGGGCTTGCTGTTCCCGTGACAACGCTTTGCTCAGTTCCTGGCAGACGCTGTCAAACTTTTCTCGCATGACCATGTTTTGCCTCTGAAGGTTAGATAAAATGGAGTTTTGATGAAATGACTTGATTTGTAATCAAAATTACTGAAACATCTGAAAATGAAGGTGTTTTAAAGCGGCCGATGAGTGATTCTTGAATAAATCATGATTTTGACAAGGAATCAATGAGACATTAATTCATTTCAGAAGTAGTGTCAATCAATTATGACAATCAGAAATTGGTTAACAATATTTCATGTGGTCAATTTTTCAATTTTTCCAAATGTAATTATCTTAACTTGTATGGTTCCTGTCTGTAACTTCATGGGGTGGGGAAGGGGGGGGGGACAGGGGGTTGGACACAATCTGACCATAGAGGACGCTGTACAAAGTGTATACACATATCATGCACATATGGATGTATACATACATATGCAATTACACCCATTTTATTGATAATGTGCAATTGTTGATATAAGGATAATGAACAAGCAATATCTTACAGATATAAAAACCATTTAGGAAAAAATAACGTGAAAATGTTGGTACGTTGGGGTAAAATCTATACATGTTGGGATAAATTATTGGAGGTGGGGGACATCACTATCTGTGTCCCCTACCAAAAAAATTATTGGGGGGACATCCCCCCCCCCCCCCCCCCCCCGGCATCATCGCCACCCATGATTAGGGAAACGCAGATGGGTGCAGTGGGTGGGGCATATACCGCCAAATCCAGAACAGTCCATACAATCAATTAATCAATTAGTCAACCGATGAAACAATCAATTAACGAATCACTTACTACATCTCTGAGTTGTGTGATTTCATTCTCCATGCCTTTCGCTCTCTCTGTCTCCATCTTCAACTCGTCGTTCTCTTGTCTGAGTTTGGCCGTTTCCAGCCTCAAGGATCGTCTCTCCACCTCCGCTGTGTGCAGACGCTGAGTGAAGTTGATGATGTTGCGCTGCAAACATGCCATGATTTCCTTACGAAAAAAAAAATTGATCAGAAATTAAAAATCAGCTGCCTTGTATCAGTAAAAAATAACTGCCGACCCCAACAGTACGCAACACTTGTCAAAGTGAGAGAGACCCAACTGGTAAAAAATCTCAAGGCCAAACTGCCTCAGAGTCCGTTTGGGCAGGTTGGCATTGTTCAATTGGCCAAGCTCCTATTGTCTCAGAATTGGTTGTTAATGCACTGGTGTTGACTGCTCAATACAGAAAGATCCCACGGATTATTACACCTGCTTCTTTGTGTTGCGTCTGGCAGGGTAAGGACGTCTAATCACAATCATCTCCATTTTTATCTACCTGTGATGACGTCATGTTCCTCGTTCCATCGATGTTAGAGTGAGTGATTCCCCGACTCAGACCATACCCAAGGAGACGGACTAGCATCCCTTTGTCCCTCGTTCCGTAACTCCGCCTTGAGGGGTGGAGACAGGACGCCTCAAAAATGGGCGTCAGCTTGGACATGAGTTTGATGAAGCATGACTTGGCTGTGTTGCTGATGGTTTGGGGCTGGGACTTGGACTCATCTGCAAGTCATAAACACACCATCATTTACAACACCCGAAACTTGATCCTGGACAAAGATATTATCCCAGTTTCCAGAACAAAAACTGAACTTTTTGAGATCTTTTTTTTTTCGGACCAATCAGGACCAATAATCTGAAGGAACAATGTATACATTTTATGGTGTATTATTCCCACTGTTATATGTCAACCTGTGATTTCCTTCCATGTTTCAGACAGATCCCAAATGTTAACCCATTTCAAATGTTTTTTAAACTCTTCTTCAGCTTTGGTTTTTTTTTTTTTCACTGAAGCGATGCTGCATATACAATTTACAAAAATACTTGATTGTGATAATCTTACTTTCTCTCATCAGAAATTCATCCTTATAGCCCGTTATGAAAACAAAAGTTGTATAAACTTTAAAATAAAAACAAAACAAAACAAAAGAAGCCGAGAATTTTTGTTTTTGTTTTTTGTGGACTTCAAACCCTAACCTTTATCACTGAGAAGCTCATGAAGTTCCGAGCACGAATCCACCACAGCAGTCAGTAACACGGAGCTAGTCAACCACCCTGAGACGTTGCTCTGTACATGGCTCCTGTGACTGCGCTTGTCAGGTGATGATCTCAAACCTGAAAAGAGAAATTCATACCTCATGTACTCATGTCCTTGTCTGAATTGAGGATGTGATATCACACATTTAAGAAAAATCAACACAAAGAACACAGAATCTTCTCAGTTCGCAACTTTTCTCAAAGGTTTAGTCGGAAACCCTGTGTACCTGTGAGTTGTCCCCCCCCCCCACCCTCACGCTGCCCCAGGTGTTATGTCGGGATTTGGTCATGTTTTGCAAGCCCAAGGGTGGGGATTTTAGTCACTCACAAAATGTTTACCATTAGGTTGACGGAAAACCAGGTTAGGGCGTCCCAACCATGCACGATGGAGATTGTCACTTACATTTTGCCCTAGGGATGGGGATTTGGTCGAGGGGGCGGGGGGGGGGGGATTGATAGGTGCATCATCATATTCACGTAATTTGCCTTCTAGTTTTATTCACACAAAGTTTTAATCTACAAAACATTAGAAGCACATGAGTACTAAATCTATTCCAAGATGGTTAATTTACACATTTTGCAATGATCAGCAACTAACTATTGAGTCTAACAGATAGGATGTGTATGATTTATTATATTCCATGTTTTATATGCTACCAAGCCAAGATAAATGTTTAAGCCTTTCTTACGTACGATTCACAAGTACTAGGGAATCTTACCAGTGAACGGTCTCTGTGGCTGTTTGACATCACCAGAGCAGACGGGGACGGAATGAATACCTGACGGATTGTCTACTGCTGTGAAGATGCCACAACTCCTCAGACCGAAGTGATGCAATCTACAGGGAAAACAAAATTGAACATCAATCAAACCTAAGATGTTAGATTTTTATTGGTTTCAATTGAAATTGACATGTTCACTTGCACTTCTCAGAACCAGCAGACAGGTCAGGAGAAAGGCCAGCAGACCAGTTTTTTGAACTGGCCAGTAATTGGCAAGAAAGCGGCCAGTAAAATATCACTGAGAATGCATGTGTATTTCTATAAGCATTTTGAAGGCTTTCGTGAGGCGTACAGACAGGCAATCAACCACCACATCCACTAGATTGGTCAACACAGGCCAGTTAATAGGCCACTTAACCACGGATACTAGCCGCAAGAAAGCCAATATTTTGAGCAGGCCATAAGAAAGCTGGCCGCTTGGAAGATCGGTGGATCAATGTGATCTCCCCGTCAAATTTATTTTCTTCAGATATTTGTACGTTCCTACCTGTTCGCTGCTAGGACCACAATGACGGCTTTTCTGAACAGCATGACTAGATTCCTGGCCGGCCGCTTGTTGTCCTGATAATCCTTCTTCAGGTCATTGACCTCCATGGACAGAGTGTTGGCTAGCTCCTGGGCCTGTCTCCTGTGAATTAAAAAGCCCAAACTTCACCTTTAACAATTCATAGTCAGACACTATTAATCTTAATAACCAATAGTCCCTGTACCGCCCTAAACCGCCCTGCCTGTTACCCCTGCACCACCCACAACCGCCCCAAGCTCTCTATGGTTTTATGGATAATACAATGAAGAACAAGTGCTAAATGGTTAATACTGTTCACAAATGTCTCAATGTCACTGCACAAAAGTGGATAAAGTAGTAAGTGCGGTTTAATACTGTGGTAACGTGAAGCACACTAGAAACTATGTTGCAGCTTAAAAGTTCTGCCTCCTATAAACTGCACATAGAGACTTTATCTGTTGCATACTGCATTTATTATAAATCGTGATTTTTTTTGGAAATATGTCAAAATCCCACAGCAGATTAATTGGGTTTTGATGTATACAGCTCTGTGCGTCCCCAACATACATGTGCTAATTTTTAATTTTGTTGCATTACAAAATTTAATAATGTGCCTTTGTTTTACAGCACAGTGTTGGCTTTGGGCTGATTCTGAATGGCTTCTGCACGGTTCCTACACAAATCTTACAATGAAAATCCATGGTTTTTCAAGGACAAAATAAGGGCTTTCCATTACACATTCCTATGTTGTGTTTTGGCATCTTAGGAGCATATTTACAATACACTGGCCAGTAATCAGACTGAGGCAATGGTCACACTTTCTTTCAGCCTTCCAGTGTGACACAAGACCACTGAGCTGAGCGTCACAAGGGTGCACTGAGCATGCAACAAGAGCATACATGCTTAAAGAGGGGGTATAAAAACTGGGCCGAAAACTGGAAGACTGCCATAACGAAATAATAACCATCATCATGTATGGGTTATGCAGGATTCCGTGAGTTTTCCATGACTTTTTTTCTTGGAAAATCAACAAAATTCCATAACTTCCAAGATTTTCCTGTTTTTTTACGTGACTGTGGGAACCCTGTCCCTTGTAACAGGGGTTAGGGTTAAGGTCCACCTTCAATACTGCTTGGGGCCAACATTTCTCACCTCATTGTCTCCAGTCCATGGACCTGTTCCTCCAGTGACGCTCTCTGAGCAGCAAGCTGACTGACTCTAGAGAACATTGGCATGAGGGCGCCGGCCATCAGACAGCAGCCAATCAGGAGCCTCGATCGTTCCCTCGTCGCCAGGGTCAGTTGATCTCTCAGCTCCGTGCATTCAGCTTCTAAGCCTTGCTTGACTGTTCCGGTCAGTCGAGCTTTCTCCCAAGCTTGGTCGGCAAGAGTTTGAGTTTTCTGGGGGAAAAGATTAAGAATATTCAAATAACTGTGAAAGGTCAAACTCAGTCAACAGACCATGAACCGACAAAGCAGGCAAGTTGTGGGCACAGCTGGCTTATCAGTTACCCACAGTCAAAGCAAAGCTGATCGAGTTACATAAACAGTTACAGCCAGTCAGTCCTATTTATGTAAGCTGCGAATTCTTAACTGTTGAAAATGTCACTTGATTGATTTTGACTGAAAGGACAACTTGGTCCATACTATATGTTTGCATATGAGGGTTAACGTGGCATGATTTACAGTGAAAAAAAAAAACCAGCATAATCTCTGCACGGTTCCCAGCACTATATAAAAACAAAATATCCTGAGTTTCCCTGATATTTCCCAAAAAAATGTGCAAAATTCCATCAGAAAAATTTGCACTTTAACGAGGTTGCTGGGAAGACATGAGGTGGTGTAGCACAGCCAATTGTTAGTGTCCGGAGAGGTGTCTAACATTAACACTGCATGAACACTTTAATAGCCACCATAGCCAGTCAGTCAATGAACACAACTTGGATACACGGCACAAATACGCCAAACAGGCAAAAACCTTTCCCTTCTGTGTCACTGTCAAATTCCCCGAGGGTTCCCTAAGTTTTGGTTGTTTTTCCCAAATTCCCCAAGTTATTTTCTTTTCTTTTTTCTTTCTGGTAAAAAAAACCCAAGGATTCCTTAAAAGTGCCCTAGGCACTGTAGCTCGAAAGCCTAAAGAAACCTGTAGAGAGAAGACAATGAGCAGAAATTACAGTTTTAGAGGTGGGAGGAAAAGCCAAGAGGAACATTTTGAGGAAACCCCACGGAATCGGGTAGGGACTGACAACCCAATCCACATATTGGCCCAGGCGGGATTCGAACCCGGGTCACAGCGGTGGAAGGCGAGGAAAGTACCGCTACGCCAACCTGACTCCCCAACCTGAGTTTTCCCTGGCTGGACAAATGGAAACCCATTTTCAAGATTCCCCTGATTCCCAGAATGGCTAGGAACTCTGCTCTCATCAGTACCTGTGATTTGATGTGTAGATCGGCCAACTGCTGGCTGAATTGTTCCTCCAGCTGTGAGCGTTGATGTTGCCATTTCTTCTCTTGTTCTTTTCCCTTGACGCTAAGCCTCTCCAAGCTTTCCTCGTGGGAATGTTGTACCTCTCGTAGTAGCTCGTCTTTGTTGTGAATCACTGTCTCAAGATGTGATACCTACAGATTAGGAATGTTACAGGTCAAAGAGATATTTATTCTGAAGTGTTGAATTTACCCTAATAAATTTTGTCAGAAAAATATGATTTGTTTTTAATGTTTAAATTTTCAATACAATTCAAGATTCCTTTGCGTTTCTTAAACGGTAATTTTCAATTTTTGCAACACTTCAAGGAAGAAACCAACATCAAACTAAAACTCAGTTATATGCAAATAGTGTTATTGTTCTTAATTGTCACTAAATGTAATGGACTGACCACAATGGACTGTTATGTTGACATGTTATTAATCCTAAACATGGAAATTTTGATCTGCAAAACAGTCATTGCCTTCGTGTGAACCTAGACACAATATAGGGTGTCTCAAAAAAAATGTAGCTGTCAAACAACACTGTTTTCTGGGGAAACTAAAACACTTTTTTTGTAAAAAAATTACCATGAGATGACAGAGTGTTTCTTTACTCTTTACAGGATTTTTTTTCTGGACCTTTTACGGCAAAGCTCGTAAAGACTGTCAAAATTTGTTTGGGCCACTTTATTTACCTTCTTGGCATGTGCATGCCTTTCATTAGATACCAAGTGGCCCAACTTGGAATTCAAGTCCTTTCATTTAATGAGCTGAATCTCTGGACTGGGGTGTCCAAATGAGATGGGATCAAGACCATTGTGTAGAGTATTTACTACACCTTCAGAATCTATAGATAAGTTTTGAAAAAAGTGAGTCCTATAATTTTTAATTTTAATGGATTGACTGCTACAGGTTTTTTTGAGATAGGCTGTATTAAGTGCCAAATAACTGCTGCTGATTTGCCGAGATCCGATGACGATTTCAGTTTCCCCAAATCTTACCTTCTCGTTGGCTCGGTTCAGTCCCGTCATCAATCCGACGATCTGATCTTGGACAGCGATACTCAGCTCATCCCATGTGAAGCTGCTTAAGATGGGCTCCTTAGGATCCAAGACAATTCTGCCCGCCATGATGCGCTGGTACAAGCTGTGAAGGTAGATCCGTCGCTTCTACAGGTTGCAGTAAAAACAAGAATAAGCAATCGGCAATTACTAATATTTCAAGTATGACAAAACCTAAAAGCTTTGATGTTTGGTCTTATCTTGAAAGACAAGGACTGAAGTGAAGACAAATTTAAGAATGATTTTGTTGGTAAAAGAGGGCCAGCCTAGAGTTCTCTTATACCCGACTGACTTACTGACTGACTCCCCGACTGACCGTCACTTGAGACCTGGGCAGTGCTATTGTATATGATTACCTTGTAACGCCAATGAATGGGCTAACTCTGGAACACTGTATAGACCAGATGCCTGAAAAGGCTAACAGAGAGTAGCCATTTTTGTGCACTTGAAATATAATGTAAATATTTGAAACAAGGTCAGCTGATTCAAATTCCAACCACTAACTGACAATCCCAAGTAAAAATGACTGTAAAAAACTTATGAAAAGTTGGATTTAGAGAAGTTCTTCATGTCCGTGCAACAAGGTCATATCTCCTAAAATGGGCCGTACGTGAAACGCGAGTTTCAGAATGTCAAAAGATTGTATTTCACTTAAAATAACCCGGATGTACACACAAAGTCAATGGACGTCGAGATATGACCTTGTTGCACGGAGTGTATGTGCGCGAGATATGACTTTGATGCAAAATGGAGTTCCGACCTTGTTGCACTGATGCGACGAGTTATTAACCCTAACTCCCTAGGGCTTTTTGCTAGGATGCAACCTCAATCCTGCAAAATCCTACAACTGACTCCATGTAAAAATAGCATACAGCTTCACTTAAGACCATCATACTTCTCTGTGGTGTCCTAAGACAAACAGACACACTGACAAACCAACCATCCCCTACCTCTTCCTCATCCTGATACTCCTTGACTCGTCTTCCATACTCCTCCATCATCTCCTAATACCATCTCAGCTCTCTAAGGTGGTGTACAAAACCCAAGACATACATGTACAGACACACTGACAAACCAACCATCCCCTACCTCTTCCTCATCCTGATACTCCTTGACTCGTCTTCCATACTCCTCCATCATCTCCTAATACCATCTCAGCTCTCTAAGGTCGTGTACAAAACCCAAGACATACATGTACAGACACACTGACAAACCAACCATCCCCTACCTCTTCCTCATCCTAATACTCCTTGACTCGTCTTCCATACTCCTCCATCATCTCCTAATACCATCTCAGCTCTCTAAGGTGGTGTTCAAGACCCAAGACACACTGACAAACCAACCATCCCCTACCTCTTCCTCATCCTGATACTCCTTGACTCGTCTTCCATACTCCTCCATCATCTCCCAATACCATCTCAGCTCTCTAAGGTGGTGTACAAAACCCAAGACATACATGTACAGACACACTGACAAACCAACCATCCCTACCTCTTCCTCATCCTGATACTCCTTGACTCGTCTCCCATACTCCTCCATCATCTCCTAATACCATCTCAGCTCTCGAAGGCGGTGTACAAAACCCAAGACATACATGTACAGACACACTGACAAACCAACCATCCCCTACCTCTTCCTCATCCTGATACTCCTTGACTCGTCTCCCATACTCCTCCATCATCTCCCAATACCATCTCAGCTCTCTAAGGCGGTGTACAAGACCCAAGACACACAGACACACTGACAAACCAACCATCCCCTACCTCTTCCTCATCCTGATACTCCTTGACTCGTCTCCCATATTCCTCCATCATCTCAGCTGCTTTGCTGCCCTCCATTTCTCCATGATGCGTCGTTTGTTGTAGCTGCATCTTGAGTGATGTCACTTGGGACTCACTCTCGCTCAGTTGACGGCGTAGCTGCTCTAGTTCCTTACAGCCACTGCTGAATTTCTTCTGAAGATCCTGCAACGAAATACAAAATAATCAAAGAACAAAAACAAATTCTCAATATAACTATGCAAAAATCCCAACAGATTGCCTGAACCTTATTTTGAATGATGGTAAATAATTACATAATATTTGTTTCAATGTATACTTAACTTTTTTTAAATTATTTTATTCTGGATAAGCGAGGAAGATCTTTTTCACGAATACCCATTCAGATTCAACCTCGAAATGTTGACTTTGATTTTCAAATTTGATCGGCCATCCCTTGTCATAATTCATGCAAAATTTCATATCATTTGTGACAAAATGATAAAGTGGCAGAGATGACAGTGTCATTTTCATTGACTCTCTGAATTTATAACTCTGCTACTTTTAAGACCTGCAACCTTCTGTATGACGCACAGACTACACGTTGGTTTGACCCGAGGTCTGAACTCTGACCTCTGACCTACCTGCATTGTTTGGCTCCTTGTCCACGTCACCTCTTTATACTTCTCACACTCAGTTGCCATCATGTCAGACCGGGTTTTCATTTTGGCAAGCTGAAATGTGAAACAGTGAAACAGCATTCACATTTATTTTGGATAAGCATTTAGTAGCACTAGTTCTTGATTCAAGTGTTCCATGAATTATGAATTATGTTCTTATATGGCTCTTAAGTAAGCCATTAAAGCATGATTTTCAGTCCCTAGAAAGAGTCCCAAGTCAGCGATACAATTGTTGTAAACAAGAAATTGGTGGTCCTAGAGGTCAGTCTAATATTCTCTTTATAACAGTCTCACTGACAGACTGACTGATTGTCACTTGTGACTTGGACTGGTAACTTATCTCAGTTTAATACTGACGGTCACTTGTGACTTAGTCTGGTTACCTGTCTCACTGACTGACTGTAACTTGTGACTTAGACTGGTTATCTGTCTCCCCGACTGTCACTTGTGACTTAGTCTGGTTACCTAACTCACTGACCGACTGTCACTTGTGACTTAGTCTGGTTACCTGTCTCACTGACCGACTGTCACTTGTGACTTAGTCTGGTTACCTAACTCACTGACTGACTGTCGCTTGTGACTTAGACTGGTTACCTAACTCACTGACTGACTGTCGTTTGTGACTTAGTCTGGTTACCTATCTCACTGACCGACTCTCACTTGTGACATAGTCTGGTTACCTAACTCACTGACTGACTGTCGCTTGTGACTTAGTCTGGTTACGTAACTCACTGACTGACTGTCGCTTGTGACTTAGTCTGGTTACCTGTCTCACTGACCGACTGTCACTTGTGACTTAGTCTGGTTACCTAACTCACTGACTGACTGTCGCTTGTGACTTAGTCTGGTTACCTAACTCACTGACTGACTGTCGCTTGTGACTTAGTCTGGTTACCTATCTCAGTGACTGACTGTCACTTGTGACTTAGTCTGGTTACCTATCTCAGTGACTGACTGTCACTTGTGGCTTAGTCTGGTTACCAGTCTCACCGACTGACTGTCACTTGTGGATTAGTCTAGTTACCTGTCTCACTGAACGACTGTTATTTGTGACTTAGTCTGGTTACCTATCTCACTGACTGACTGTCACTTGTGAATTAGACTGTTACCTACCTCACTGACTGACTGTTACTTGTGACTTAGACTGGTTACCTATTTCACTGACCCAATGTCACCTGTGACTTAGTCTGATTACCTATCTCACTGACTGACTGTCACTTGTAAACTATTCTGGTTACCAGTCTCACTGACTGACTGTTACTTGTGGCTTAGTCTGGTTACCTATCTCACTGACTGACTATCATTTGTGACATAGTCTGGTTATTTATCTCACTGACTGACTGTCACTTGTGACATACTGTAGTTACCTATCTCACTGACTGACTGGATTGGGACCAGCTTTACTTGGTTTGATGTATTCTTTTGGAGTCATCCATTATTCCTGTCTCCTTACACTCACCTCCTGTGACGTCATGTCCAGTCGTTTCTGGTAGTCCGTCAGGGTATGTCTGAGTGTCTCCAGGACCAGCATCGGTGATAGGTTCTCGTTGGTCTTAGAATCACCCTTCTTTGTCTTGCCCCGTCTTGAGGAGGTTGTCTTGTCGCCGTTCAGTTGGAAGTTGTGAAGGAGGAGTTCAAGCTCTCGCATACTGCCACCGTAGGTCTGCTCAAGGTAAACCTGTCGCTTCTTGGCCTGGGGGGGGGGGAGGGGGAGGGAAGCATGGCAATAATTTAAATGTTTTATTCAGAGGGCAACCAGTTTTGTATGATTTAAAGGAGACAGCATTTACACAGAGTCTTAGTTACTACACCAGACTTTTCTTCTTTTGGAACAGCGACAAAAAATTGGGAAAAGCTTTTATATGTGAAGCTTTATTTACATTTAAAACAATTTAAGACATTTGAAAACTGAAATCTTTTTTTAAGGAAACACTGTTCACTTAAATAATGTTTATTGCTACATTTCTTTGCTGAAGTCCCCATCCCCTACGACCATGCCTTGCTTAAATTATGAAATAATTTTGAACTCAAGCCAGGGACATATTTCATTCAGGATACTTGAAAGCCATCTTAAAGATCTAGACTTTTTATAAGGTGGAATTTTCGTCAGGGAGATATAGATTTTGATATTGGGTTTGCCCTTTACCGACTGATCTTATAAACACTGTATACTCAATGTTGTCTGAGGGCCTGCGAGAAAAAATGCACAAGCTTTAATACTTGGGTAGGACTCGAACCCACGACCTCCTGCCTACTAACGCAGACTTCTTACCACTTGACCACCGAGCTTTCTAAGTTCAGCTGGCCATTTCAAGTCTAATATAGCAGCGGGTACCGTGACCAAACAATGAAAACCGTCCAGCCGATGTTGGCAAGCTTGGTGGTCAACTGGCGAGCTTGCCGGGGTCGGTTGGCCAGTTCGAGTCTGATGTAGCAGTGGGTACCATGACCAAACAAGAAAACCGTCCAGCCGATGTTTCCAAGCTTGGTGGTGACTGGTAAGACATTTTCACTAGCAAACAGGAGGTAGTGGGTTTGAGTCCCACCAGAGGAAGCTTGTGAACTTTTTCTTACAGGCCCATGAACAACATTGAGTATACAGTTTTTGTAAAACATGGTGGGGAAGGGCAAAACGCGATGTTAACATTCTCAGATCTTTGTTCTGAATTCTTAGTTTAAGCATCTGGACTTTACCCTGCTGAGTTCCTGTTTGAGTTCATCAAAATTCTTCTGGTGGATTTCAAGCTGAGCTGACATGTTAGTGATGATGGTTTTCTTGCTGCTTGTCTCTGCATTCAGCTGTTGCTTGAGTAGTTCGTTCTCTCGGGAAAAGCTGCAATTGGTAGAAAAGGTGAAAAACGTGGAGGTAACACTCAAGGGTTACACCAACTTTGCGCAAGAATTGCATGTGTAGCTGTGTAGCTATCCACAACTGCCAAAAGTTGTGTTTTACTACTGACACATCAATTTAACTGCCGTGGCCTTATGGTCTTAAGCATTGAATTCGTGGTCTGCGGCTAATTCTGCAGGTTGTGGGTTCGAGTCCAGCCTGGGGTTGTGGTGCGTTTGCCCTTGGTAAAGGCACTTTGTCACTCATTGCTTCTCCCCACCCAGGAGTAAATAAGTACCTGTGAGGGTCGAGTTGGTTTGTGTGGTTGATTTTAGCTGCCTGGCACCGAAATGGCAGAATCGAGCTGTATATTCCCAAGGGAGCTGAGATTGTACTGTTTAATTGGTCCAATGATCAGGGGTAATAATAATGTAAAGCATTGGATCTTAGTTAAAAGTGCTATATAAGTACCCGTTATTAAAGTGAAGTACATTTTGACATGTGTGTATACGAGTACATTAAAAGGTAGACAATGCAACAACGGTGACAAAAAAACTCAAGTCAAAAAAATCAAAATATGATTTCTCAGAAACTTATATTAAAATTGAGGTGCTTCTGTCAATTTCTTCGTTCAGCCTAAGGTAGATAAAGTTGATCGATGTTGCTTTTCGTTCTCAAGTCTGTCCCCAGAATAAAGTGTAAAGAATCAATTCTTCATCACACTCACCTTTCTGCTTGTTGTTTCATGCTACTTGCAGCACTTCTTTCATCATTTAGGACTACTTCCAGATCCCTGGTGAGAAGACAAAATATATCCAATCAGTCTTAAAATCCAGCCACCCGCCAAGGAAACTTGAATCTTTCTAATGCTTTTAATAGATTTGGAATTACTGTGTTCAATCTTAGAGGTTGAACCGATTTCCATCATCAAGGAAACTTCTCAACAATGTTTGCCACAAGGACTGAGTCGACAAATGGTTATCATCAAGTTTATCTAAAACTGTCACTGCCTGAGTAAATTTTATGCTATACTTAATGGGACATTACGTCCTGCAAGGCGTCCAATTGGGCTACAAAACGCGTGTTAAATGAAATGATGTTAATTGGAAAGAGCATTTAAAAGTAGGATATAAACGTCCACACAACCATTCTTTAAAAACTGGGTGTTTTTGTGTTATTCTTGCAAGAACCATTTTTCAGGAACGAATTTCAGGGGTCAAAGTTTTGACTCTCAAAAATCGAGCTGTTGAGAGCTAGTTGTGAATCCTGCCGCACAGTGTAGCGCATTCTGCGGACGTGCAAGAAACAACATGTGTGTATTGGTGCTGTGTGTATTATGTGTCACACACGCAACGTGTACCGTACATTGCAAGGGCACGGCTGGCAATACGTATGCGCTTGCCACCAAATGTCTGCCGTGTCCAATGAAAACAACCGGGTTATTGGGGGGAATGGTCGGACATTACGTTAGTTGAGATTTGAAGGTTTGCATGGTGAACGGGTCATAATAAGATAAGTTATTGCAGTAGCACCATGTGGCAAAATCTCTTTATACATATTCACGAAAGAGATTTTGCCGCATGGTGCTGCCGTAACAACTTATCTTACTATTACGTTGGCTTCTTTTCAACCAGATCTTTGATATGGGATAAGTAAACAATCCAGAAAATAAATTTCTAGGCCGTATTGCCCCTTTAACCCTAACTCCCTAGGCATTTTTGCTAGGATGTTAACTCAATCAGGAAAAAATCCTCAAACTGCCTCCATGTAAAAATAGCATATAGCCTCAATCCTGCAAAATCCTCTGTTATTTCTTGAATCTGGTCATTGGAGGAGTGACCACTGCCTCAATCCTACAAAATCCTCCAGCAATCACTGTCAATATGTCGAGGCAGAGCCAGTACGTGACATCCTAAAGCAGTGCAGAGGATTTCAAGTGTAATCTAGGCCTAAATTTATGCACTGCTGAGCATAAACAACACACGGTCCGGCCCAAGACCTTGACACAGTGCATCCTCCGAAATCAGCAACACACTTTTGCCATGTAACCTCAATCCTGCAAAATCCTCCATTTTGCAAAGAGGATTTTGGAGGGTTTGAGAGGGTTAGGGTTAACTACTATGAGCTGTGCTTACCTGAGCTGCTTTGTCATGATTTCATTGTTGTGCCCCACCTCTGAGTGAGCTGATTTCTCCACCTCTAATGCTCCCTTCAGATCTCTGGCTTGAAGCTTTAAGAGATTTATCAAGACAGAAAATCTGGTTATACACTTCCTCACAAGTTGCCAAAGATTTCTATTGAACAATCACACCATAACATACATTATGATATTGCATCTAAGTGATGCACATCAAGTTAGATTCTGCAAAACATGACTTTTATCTGATTTTATCTGATTACAACTCTCTCATGACGAACAAAGAAACAAATTATAGTTCAATTGGCACCTTTCAATGTATCTTGTCAACATGTGTCAACACTTAAATGCACTTTTAAACACTGGCAAATAAATGCCAAATGATTGCTGAAACTAGCTTTCGATTAGAGGTCAAAGAGCGCCCTCAATGGGCCATGCACAATGCTGATATCTTTCAGTCCCTGGTGGTCACAGGCAGTGACTTACCTGAACCAGCTCCGAGTTGAATTTGGACTCCAAATGAGCGGCTCTTTCTGCCTCGATTGTTCCCTCCAGAGTCTTGATTCTACCCGCTGCTACCTACAAATTCACACACGGTCTCAGCTTGTTATGGCTGGTCTCAGATCGTTACAGTTAGTCTCAGATAGTCAGAGGTAGTCTCAAATTGTAACAGCTGAGCTAAGTTACAAATAGCCTTGGGTTTTTCACTGTTACATCTCATGTTATTGCAGATTGCCTGAGATAATCTCAGATTGTTGCAGATAGCCTGAGATAATCTCAGATTGTTGCAGGTAGCTTGAGATAATCACAGATTGTTGCAGATAGCCCCAGATAATCTCAGATTGTTGCAGAAAGCCGCAGATAATCTCAGATTGTTGCAGATAGCCTCAGATAAACTCAGATTGTCTCCTACCTCCACTTCTTTCTTGAGTCTGTCCTCCCTCTCGGCAGCATACTGCAGCTCTCTCAGCTGTTGCCTCACCGTGTTTGTCTGGGTGTCTCTCTCTGTCTTCAGCTCATTGACTTTTTCTTGAGTTTCTGCATAGATGCTTGAGAAAAACAAAGACATCTTTTTGATGTACTGTGAAGTCTCAAAGATCATCCTCAAATCTAGCTTTTAATGACTACAACTGCCAAGAGTTGCGTGTTGAAATGAGGAACATCAAAAACAGCCAAGGACGACCTGAAATATCCCTATTGCTGTCTCCTTAAAGGCAGAAAGGATCATTTGCTGTTCATGTATTTTGTACGTCTCCAACAATAACACCACTCAAAATCCATAGAAGAATTTGGAAAACCTTACCCTTTGAAATTCAAGCTCAGTGGATACCACTTTTTGAGAAAACTGAAAATCCGTGCATGATCTGTTTTTATCACAAAACACGATTTCGTCAATAGCACTCCTTATTCCAAAAATCTGTCCATTGACCGATCGTTGGAAATTACCTACATTTCTTGATTTCTTCAAATTTACAGTAAGCCAGGCAGACTAATTTACGATCTTTATTCCAAGTAAGACTTTTGATAATAATTTGGTAGGTTGCTTTGGGCATAAATGCAAATGATCCTATATTCCTTTAAGTAGTTCTGCTTGGCAATTTTCCAAACTCCACTGTACAGAAAACTGATACCATGATCTCTTTATTTTATCTTTCAAGGTGTATCAATACTTTGTGAGTATTCAATTTTGATGGATCTCAGAGGGTTAAAGATGCGTTCCTCAATGGTAACTAAAGAATAGCATGATGCAGTTTTGAACACTATAATTTAACCTATCATTGACAAGTCCTTCAAACCCAGTAAGATGTTTAGAAGGATTTTGTAGGATTGAGGAAGGTTTAACCCAGTTATTATTACTTTACATGGCACTTGCTACCATTTGAATGTCAAAATCAAAGAATGTTCCATGTTTATTCCATCTCAATTGAAGATTTTAGAGGATTGGGGAGGGGTTTCATTTTAAAAAAAAATTCCTTGAATTAGGATTAAGGTGCAAATGTGAATGGAATATTCAAAGTTTTTGAAACCTTTCCTTACTTCTCTTGTTCATGGAAGACCTGTTCTAGTTGCTCTTTCTCACTACGGATGACATCTCTCTCAGCTTTCACTGCCTGGACTTCTCTATCTTTCTCCTCAAGGGAAACACGAAGCTTTACATCCGTATCATCAGCGAAGCGTCGCTGACTCACGAGACTTGACTGGAGATCTTGAACTTGGGATGTCAATTCACTGATCTTACCTGAGAATTACAATAAATTTAGAAAAACAATTAATCATTACTGACCCAGAGCAAAACTTTGCAACTAAGTTATCCTAATGACATCAAACAATAACTACCTTGGATTATGTCATTGACAACACGTCGTCGTTTCATTTCACATGATATTTTTCTCTTTATAATGAAAATAAAAATGCTGAAAAGGAAAGTTGGTAAAAAAGAGAATCTGCAGTTTCAATTTCTAATTATGAATAAGTAGCCTATATTGTTTTGCGCAACACAAAAGTGGAATCTCTCAGACATTACACAGCGCCGTAGACAACATACATTATGCTTCACTAACAGACAAATTCAAGCACACAAATCAATTCTATCACGAAGGTCACCTCCAATGGCGAAATCATTGTGCTAGCTTTTGTGAAGATAATCCGTCAGGGGGCAGCTACCTTGTACAATAATGTGCAATGTGCACAATGGTTTCTCCATTGAAGGGGGCCGCGAGAGTGGACAATGATCACGTACCCAGATTCATCTATACCAAGACGCTTCAGTGGTATGTGTTGGTCATACTGAGGCAGTAGTGGAGAGTATGAAATTAAACAGTCAGTAACTTGAGGTTGACCTGGAGGTTTAACGAGGCTTTCCGAGGTTTATGAGGTTTTATGAGGTCTTATGATGTTATACGGGGTACCTTGGTGTAAAACCTCAAGTTACTGCTTGTTTAATTTTTGCATTCTTCCCTGATAATAAGGGAATAAATGTATGCTTTGGAGGTTTTAAATACTCTGTTTAAGACGGGTTGGTGACCGGATGCTGATAATTATCAGCATCCTGACTCTCCCCAGTCTTAAACAGAGTTTAATACTATATGAACCAAGCACATATTTTTTTCCCAATCATAAATACCTTTTCAGTCAGAAAATCAAAACTTTTCAGTCCAAAAGTCAAAACAAGTCAAAAATGATAAATTTTCAACAATTTTGATCAACAAAACACCCCTCTAGCTATGCAATGGTAAGGCCCTCTGGTAAACAACTCCTTATATGGAGATTGACGCGCGCGTTGCGCGATGTGGCGCACAACGCAGATGTACCGGTGTAGAGCTAGTGAATTTAGGACTATGAAATACTGACTCTCTGGTAGTATTGCAACCAGTTCATCCAATAAAATGGTGCTGGCACCGGATTTCGAAGGAGTCAAAATTTCATGTGACACTAGAAAAGTGTTTAAGACCAGCCAGCCATGTCTTTATCATCTGTTTAAGACCAGCCACATAAAGGGCTCTCGACCAATAGGAATGGGTAAACTGTCTTAGGCATTTATTAATACACAATTAACCTTTTACCTCTATGAGTTTCAATGATGGTATTCAGACTGTCCTCTCGTTCAGCGGCGAGGTTCTTCTCTTGTGAGATTCCTCGCTTGGCGACCACAATCTCGTACTCCAGTTGCTGTCTCGCCGCTTCGCTCTTCTCAAACTGGGCACGGAACTTGGCTATTTGAGCCTGCAGCTGGTTCACCTGTGATGCAGTGAAGCGTACAAGTAGATCAACGACTAAATAGACCTTATTCTTCAACAAATGAGGCCACTGTCATGATGCCATTTTGGGTCATAATTGCATGAGGTCGTTGATGCAGATTTGCATGTCGCTACAATGCAAAAATTGTTTGGGGAAGTGTGGCCTAGTGGTTTAGGGTTCGTGACTCTTGATCAGAGGGTCAGGGGTTCGAATGTAGCTGCTGGCCATATGTTGTGTCCTTGGGCAAGCCACTTTACCTCCACTTATCTCTCTCAACCCAAGAGTATAACCCCTATCGGCATTAGCTGGGGAGTAAACTGTGATAGACTGGAATCCCATCCCATCAAAAAAAGAAATATTATCAGTTGTTTCGTGCCAAGGAAACTGGAAATAAACCCAGGCCTGATGGGCCATATTGGCTCATGACAGACTTACAATGCAAAAATTATACTTTTACAATTTTGAATTTTAGGTTCAAGTAAACTTTAAAAAAAATGGCCTGTTGAACCAACACTATTGTATGAGTTCATAGAGTGGTCGAATAATTCCTGGTTTACACTCGTAGGCCATTGCACTTACACTGTGTCATCACCTACCTCCTCGTTAGAACTCGCTGTGAAGTTGAGTTTCTCATTTTCAAGTTGAGTGACACGCTTTCTCAACTCAGTATTTGATTCTGTAAAGCAAACAAACAGCAAATGTGAAGAGATCATTATGTTGTCTCATTAACTACGTTTGCCAAAAATAAAAATTCAAATCAAATCGATTTTAACCCTTACTCCCTAGCATAATGTACTAGGAACCATACCCATCCAGGCAATAATAGGGAGTCCACCTCCGTTCGCACACTCCGAGCATGTCTATTTTCACAGGCATTGTACACAGAATAAACCACACCACCGTCGGATTTTTTTATATCAATTTGAAAAGGAAGAGTTATACAACACAAAAGACAGGACAATTCAGGAAGGTTAGTGGGCAATCTCTATTCCGAACGAGTAACGTGATAAGTACCGCGATAATACGGAGTCCCATCCTACCGCTAGCCTTACTGTCCTGAATCCATCGAAATCCCACCCAACTCCAAAACAGGGGTGTAGATTTTGATGGATTCAGGTACGTTTGGGTTAATACCTATTTCCGACTGATGTTCATCTTGAAGTCTTGCAATTTTCAGCCGCAACTGACGCAGTTCCTCAGTGACCTCCAGATCCTTCAGAAATGGTGATGACGACTTGCGATGAAAGTCTGAATTGTTGGCTGTGTCTGGAGACGAGTTGGTTGCCATGGTATCACGACTGCAAATAAGAAATAAATTATAAAGATATGGATTATAATTTCTATAACTAGGATAAGGTCAGCTTAACACAGAATTTTCATTGATTGAAGCGCTGCTGTAGAACAATGCGACAAATGTCCGTTTTGAATGCTGCGTGCAAAAAGATACCGGCTGAGAAAGTTGGTTGCGCGAATATTGGGCAGCGCGCGAATTTGGGGCACTGTCTGTACGATACTGGCCACGATTAGTTTGCCTTTTTTTTTATTTATCAATGTTTAAGATTCCTTTATATGGCCATCACTATTTTTTCCCCTCAGTGCTAGTGACCTATCAGCCATCAGAAAGTGATAATATGTCCTAAAAAGTCAAATTTAGCAGGGAAAATATTGAAGTATTTACTGAGAAAACACTTTTGATGGCCAGATATGGAAATCTTTCCAAATCCTAGCCCCATAAATGTGGCCAATTTACTGGACTACCTCCGTAAATAAAGGCCACACTTCCACCATGGAGGAATAAGCCATGTACAAAACTTGTCGAACTTTGTCAAATTTTGATTTTCATATTTAGGCTTAGTTTGTAGTTTATTTTTGCTTTAGAAGCATACTCACCCTCTTTATGGGCTAATCAGAAAGTGCTGCCTTTTTCAGATGTCTATTTTTCGTGAAATTTCCAGATTCGTTTTCACACGTTTGTCTATCAAAATTTCAACATAAAATTTCACGAAAAATAGACATACTGTAAATATCTAAATTTGACAAAGTTCTACATGTTTTTGTACATGGTGGAAGTGTTGCCTTTATTTATGGAGGTAGTACAGTAAATTGGCCAAATTTATGGGGCTATCCAAATCCAAGGCCAAGGCAATCCCAATGGTTAACGAAAGGCAGTGGATATTTTGCCAGAGACGGCAAACCTTTAGTAAACGTTAGCTTGCTGGATATGCACTGAACATGCGCAGTTACTGTTTTTTTGTACTTAGACATTTTCCGGTGACTAATTTTAGTCTGAAGCCCCTCGACGAAAAGGTCGTCCAAACATGACCCTGAAAACATCCATCGAGCTAGAAACTGGTCTGAGTGGTCCATCTCTTTCCAACACTATGCTCGACAGGGGCAGTTGGGCTCAACTCATCAAGTCATCATGAAAATGAATGAATGAAGAAGAAGAAGAATTTTAGTCTGGCTCCATGCCACCATTATTGATGTAACTTCGTATTCACAAGATGGGAATCAGACCATTTTACAATTTCGAACTTTCGAGCCACAAATCTGAAAAAGAAAATGTAGGCCTAATACTCTACAATAAAATGTTTGAGACATGTTAAAATTATAAAAGAAGAGTATTCTTATTTTGGGGGGATGGGGGAAAAACCTCAGAAATGTCGCCAGCGGGGATCGGGATCGAACCGGAGTCTTCCCGCTCATGAGATCCGTTGCTTATCCACTAGACCAAGGGTGGTACACAACCGTTGGTGGTAATTTAAGAATATCTTATAAATCATGTAAATCAGCCCTATCTTTGAGAGTACAGTGCCCTCTATTGATATGGATTGCCGCCGGCAAACCTTTAGTAAACATTAGCTTGCCGGCATTACCTCCGGCAATATATCCACTACACTAGGCCTATCTTAATAAAATTTAAGTTCGTTACTATAAAATTTAAGTTCATACTATCAATACATGTCAATGTCACACTCATACTCATAGGCCCCTTTTTCTAAAATGATTAGGCCCTAGGGCTAGGCTAGGGGCCCTAGCCCTAGGGCCTAATCATTTTAGAAAACGCAGTGGCTATCATTACGGCAGCCGTAACGCATTTCCCAATTTCTATCGTTACGGTAGTAGGGGCCTACTTAGCTGGAGTTACCCAGCCCTGAGTTTTATCATTGGGTTGTCATCTAGGGCTGGAGCGCATTTTTCTCAAAACTTGTAGTATTTGCAAAAAAAATTTGGAAAATGTTCAATTTTGTCCCCGTTACACACTAATTGCAACTGCAACTCACCCCAAACTTGCCTGGAATAACCATTACACAGGTCCTTGAAGTAAAAAACGATCCACGATGAAGATTCGGCCTACAATTGCAGTGAAAACAGGAGGAATAACCGCTAACTTGACAACCTTGCTGGATTGGCCAGGACCGCTATTGGTTTGTGCACAAAAAAAATTGTGTACAATGAATGGCGGTCGATTAACAGGCACAGAGGAGCGATCGCTGTCAACTACTCGTTTTGCCGGCTGCGCTGGCTGTTGGCGCGTGACGTCACGCGGAAGCGTAACACCCGATGACTGTTTCATGCACTAGTATAAGGTTTACCACTCGCATCACAGCTTTGGTACTGGAACCGCAACCAATAGTGCATGAAACAGTCATCGGGTGTTACGCTTCCGCGTGACGTCACGCGCCAACAGCCAGCGCAGCCGGCAAAACCGAGTAGTTGACAGCGATCGCTCTCTGTGCCTGTTAATCGACCGCCATTCATTGTACACAATTTTTTTTGTGCACAAACCAATAGCGGTCCTGGCCAATCCAGCAAGGTTGTCAAGTTAGCGGTTATTCCTCCCGTTTTCACTGCAATTGTAGGCTGAATCTTCATCGTGGATCGTTTTTTACTTCAAGGACCTGTGTAATGGTTATTCCAGGCAAGTTTGGGGTGAGTTGCAGTTGCAATTAGTGTGTAACGGGGACAAAATTGAACATTTTCCAAATTTTTTTTGCAAATACTACAAGTTTTGAGAAAAATGCGCTCCAGCCCTAGATGACAACCCAATGATAATGTCACGCCCCAACTATGGTATCGGTCCCAACTATAGTTGGGACGGTCCCAACTGTAGTTCCATAGTTGGGCTGGCCCAACTATAGTTGGGAGTCATCAAGGGGGCCCAACTATAGTTGGGAGTTATCAAGGGGGCCCATCTATAGTTAGGCCACTCCAATCTTTTTATTTTGCGGTGTCCCAACTGTAGTTTACATTGATGTACAACTATAAAACGTTCCCTACAGCTCTGATACACGTCTGACTTTACTGGGGACCACTGAAATTAGCTATTGATGGGGCTAATCTATAGTTGGGCCACCCCAGTCTTTTTATTTTGCGGTCCCAACTATAGTGTACGTTGTTGTACGATTATAAAACATTCCCTACAACTCTTACACACATTTGACTTGACTTGGGACCAATGAAATTATCTATGGGTGGGGCCCATCTATAGTTGGGCCACTGCAATATTTTTATTTTGCGGTCCCAACTATAGTTTACATTGATGTACGACTATAAAACATTCCCTACAGCTCTGTTACATGTCCGACTTTACTTGGGACCGCTTTGACATTAACTATGGGTGGGGCCCTATAGTTGGCCGGCCACGCCAATCTTTGAATTTTGCAAAATGTTGCTGGACTAAAAAAAACCAGCTGGACAACTCATCCATTTAGGCAGTGCCACGTGGCAGGCCGGCCCTGTATGCAACACACATGCACGACGAATACATGGTGCCAGCATGCACCATGGAACTCCAGTCCTAGCTATAGTTGGGCGAACCCAACTATCGCACTATAGTTGGGACAGTCCCAACTATAGTTGGGACTGATGCGATAGTTGGGGCGTAACAATAACGATAGCCACTTCTTTATATCGTTTAGAAAAATGATGAACAGAGAAAGAAAGAGGATAGTGCTAACAAAAGATTGGAATTTTATAAAACTTACCATTATATTGGTTAAAGTACGTGATTGACAAAGGCAGGGGGTCATTCTTCAGCAATAATAATATTCAAAGATCAGCCCTTTTTCCGCCAAGCAAACCGTCAGCGCGCAACTAATACAGTATAAAATAGTCGGAACCCTTGACGACATACCCCATTCATACCATTTAATTTTACTGGGTACTAGACCTTATTGCAGGGCGCCCTCTTTTGGCAAAAGTACTTTCTTTTTTTTAGTTCTGAAACTAATTAAGCTTTAAAGGCATTTGCGCATGCCTTTCAGCATAAGAAATAAATACCCAGTCGAAATTACGATGAAGTTCATTCTAAGACTTTAATGTTTTGGAATAAGCTAAAAAAAATCAAAATGAATAAGTCATACCTTTTGAAGCTTTATTCAGCCAACTTTAAAATCGAGGTATAATTATCTCCTTTAAAATCATCGTCGATGCCATTGATCGATGCTATCAGATTTATGAGAGCGAGGTTGACGTTTTTAACTGGTGCTCGACAAAAAATCGTGCACAAGTCCAGCCACTTTGTGCGGCAAAATACCAGCTAGGTTGATGGGTACGATCCTTGTGATACGCTATCACAGTGACCGTTTTAGCCGATTTTCGGCTAACTTTGACAGATTTTTTTGTAAAAAAACGAGTTTGACAGATAATTTGACAGAATGGATTTTTTGGGCAGATTTCTGGCAGAATTCTCCAAAACTTGTTATTTTGACAGAAAAACCACAAATTTGCCAAAAAAATTGTACATTTGTTTACAAAAGCTTCAATCTTTTTCAAACAAACCCTTGCAAAATAGGACAAGTTGCCTGATCTAGGTGCTGAGGTTCACTGGGAACTGGATTTCGTTGTGCCGCAAGGCCGCGTGCCTGAAATTTAAGTAATTTCATATTAATTTTATGTGGCTATAGATTGTTAATAATGTAATTTGAACATTCATTAAGGCAATATTACAACATCTGCATGCGATTTAAAGTGTTTATAGTGTATTTCGAGTAATTCTGGGGAATTTGGCAGATTTTTTATCAATCTGACAGATTTTTGAAGTGCATTTAGCAGAATTTAGTCATGACCTTACGGTCACCCTATAAGCTATCGATATCTGACATATGTAATGACGGTGCAACATTCACAATACGTGTAATCTCACACAGAGGTTATTGTACCCGGAAAATTCTGACTTTTGTCTGCCAAAGAAAATAAGGTACTTCCCCCCCCCCCCCCCCAATTTATATGGTATTTAAGAATCGATGGATGGACACAGTCTGTAATAATGAGTGAGGGGGAGAACCTGATCGACGTGAGCGATCCCAATTTTTATCAGAGTTTCAAGACGCCTATCTTCAAAGCGGCACAAGAGGGCGACCTTCCAAGAATTCAGGAATGTCTCCGATTGTTCTCAAAAGAGGAAGTGAAATGGCTAGTTTCTCAAGTTGTGGAAAAAACAACGCCGCTGATTGTTGCCAGTCGAAATGGCCACCTGGATGTCGTGAATTATTTTCTTGAGAAATGCAAGGCCGACGTCGAGCAAGTTGGGTCGGTGACGTTTGATGGGGAGACAATAGAGGGCGCCCCAGCATTGTGGTGCGCAGCTGCGGCGGGCCACTTTACAACAGTCCAGAGTTTGATGCAGCATGGCGCCAGGGTGAATCAAACGACATTCTCCAACTCCACACCACTGCGAGCTGCTTGTTTTGATGGCCATTTTGACATCGTCAAGCATCTTGTCGAGAATGGGGCCGACATTGAACTTGCCAATCGCCATGGCCACACATGCCTGATGATATCCTGCTACAAGGGCCACTATGAAATCGCAGAGTTCTTACTGTCACTTCATGCAGATGTGAATCGGAAAAGTATCCGTGGCAACACAGCATTGCACGACTGTGCGGAATCCGGAAGTCTAGATATCATGAAGCTTCTGTTGAAACACAGTGCAGTGATGGAAGACGATGCTTATGGCATGACGCCAATCAAAGCAGCAGCAGTTGCCGGCCACACTAACATCGTGGACTACCTGGTCACGCATCCAAATGTTCCGAAAATAGAGAAGGTTGAATCTCTAGAATTGTCGGGCGCAACTGCCGTTGACAAGAAACGAGACATGCATCAGGCACTCCGATACTGGCAGCGTGCACTAGACGAACGAAACAGCGACCCTGCAAACGTAATCAAAAAGGCACCAAAAAAAGCAATTCCAGCTTACGAGTGTACCATTGAAGTCGATTCATCAAAAGATTTAGAAAACTTGGTGGGAGATCCCGATGAAATGCGTATGCAAGCATTGCTGATCCGTGAGAGAATCTTAGGCCCAACCCACCCTGACACAACCTACTATATACGATACAGAGGAGCTGTTTATGCAGACTCCGGTAACTTTGATCGGTGCATTACGTTATGGATGTATGCTCTGGATATGCAACAGCAGGCGCTGGAACCCCTGAATCCAATGACACAGAGCAGCTTGCTATCCTTCGCTGAACTGTTTGCCTACATGCTGTCTGAACGAAACGGAGAGAGGGTCTGCAACGACCTCCAGTTCAGAACCGTCTCCATCATCTACTTGAAGGGAATCTCTGAGATCAAACGCGGAATGGAGGAGACGCCCATCGGTCCTCAGACAGAGAAGGATGCTGGCAATTTCAACCGAGCTCTCTTGATCATAATGCATCTGATGTGTCTGATTGCCAAGCTAGATGGCACAGAGGAAGATGAAGAAGAAGTCCGACAGGCCACGTACCAATTCCTCAAACTCAAACCATCTGGACTCAAAGGAGCCACGCCCCTGCATCTAGCAGTTGATGATTCCACATCATCAGTTGGACGCTATCCAGTATGCAAATTCCCAGACATCAAAGTTCTTCACTTGCTGCTTGCATGCGGGGCCAACGTGAACGCATTTGACGCCCATGGGAATAGACCTCTACACATCGCTGCAAATGTATCCTCGGATAGTCAAGTCAAGCACGATCGTGGAGACACCCTGAGGATGCTTCTAGACCATGGAGCACATCTAGATTGTCGGAATAAAGATGGCAAAGCTGCCCTTGATCTGTTGGGAGATGCCTTGTGTGACATCTCACCATTGAACTACACAACCTTGCAGTGTCTTACTGCAAGAGCGGTCATAAGGCATAGGCTGAAATACATTGGTATTGTTCCCAAAAGATTGGAGGAATTTGTCCAAATACATTAGATGCTACCGAGCCAAAATTGAACAGTTGTTGTGTTGCATGATTAGTGCAATGTTACATCATTGACTTGGATAATAGAACTACATGTACGACGTGTAAATTTATCATTTGATCTCAAAATAGAGATACATGTATCTATTGATATCTATTTCTAAGGCCAAAAAAAAAAAGTCTCCGGTTTCTGGTATGGAGCTTGCCCCAAAAGTGGTGCGGCGACGCGGCTTTTTTTTTTTTTTTACCTGTTTTTTTTTTTTTTTTGGGCTTCAAATGTCGGCTGATGACTGCAAATGGTGCCCGACTAAACTTAGTGCAAATATATGGGAGTCCAGAGAGGCCACATAAAGCTTATTCTCGATCATAACCCCATCTAAAAACATGTTAAAATTGTGCAGCAGCAGGATTCCAGTCAAACCAGTGAGTTTGGCGGTTTTGAGACATCATCTTGTATTGAAAAAAAAACTATTTCATTTTGCCGACGCGCATGGCTACGGCGACGCGCGCGCATACCAGAAACCGGAGACTTTTTTTTATGGGCCTAAGATGGTCAGCAGAGAAATTAAAACCATATAATACGTGTAATAATTACAATAACATCTTCAAGCAAACATGAATCCTTGATCCTGATTGGTCTATCCATGGCAACAATAGTGTGGTATTATCTCATACACCACGGACCACATGGCACTCGCCGTATTGTGCTATTCTAAGATGCGGGTGCCATTCCTGCTACAAAGCAGGGTAACTAAAATGTTTGTGTACAGCATAATCATTCCAACCACTACAATGCGTCAGGTTTGCTTGAAGATAAATTCGTTATCCCACTTGTGTTTGACAAACATGGAAAATGTAGCCTTTTTTTTGTGCAACTTTCTACTCCAATGTATGAAAAATAGTTGACATCCATTTTTGGTAAATTTTATTTGAAAGAGTGCACTTCTTTAAACAATTAATAAAAATTACAAACTTTTCCGGACAAGCCATTTGCGAGTAACCTATACCCTTTGGGATTTACATTTCAATAACATCTGGTACACTGACTTGCTCAGAATGCTTGGCACATTTTAACTTTGAATTCTCCAGACCAAAGACACTGTTGCTAATCACATGATTCGGGGCAAGCTCTTGCATAGTTACGTAAGAGACGCTCAGCATCAATACATCGCTCACAATGGGTGAGAATGGCACAAAGACACCAGACCATGCCAGAGCTGGGGGTTGCTAGCATAAGGCTTGCCCCGAATCACGTGATGTAGTAACAGTCTCTTTGGTCGGGAGAATGCAAAGTTAAAATGTGTAAAGCATTGGATTAAGTCAGCGTTCCAGATTTTATTCAAATTTAACTCGCAAATGGCTTATTGAGGGCACTGTTGCAGTGATGTCATTTCAGGAAGACACTGTTCAGTTCAGGGGTTTTCTGTTTACATTGTGAACCCAATAAATTACTTGTTGAAAATATTGGTGAGGAAAGTTTGCTCCTTGGCTTACTGCCATGTACTGACACAATGCATCGCCATACAGTGAAATATTCCCAAATTCTGGCAACTTTTGGTGCTGAAAGACATGTTGCTGTAACACAGTAACAGTGAGGTTTCTGCCTGAAATGACATCACACTTTTGCTCCTGAACATGTATATATAGAGATTCGCATTTGCATAAGTAAGTACAAAAGGCATCAAAATACCCTTGAAAATCGAAAGAACAAAAATTGAAATTGGAACTTTTGTGTTAAAAGGAACACAAAAGTTGCATTTCGAAGGATTGCATAAAAAAATTACCTGGCATGGGCCTTTTAAAGTCACTCCCTAATGCTATTTTCAAGTGTCATCCTAAAAAAAATATTTACTTCTTAAATTGCTATTTGTTGGCATCATAAAAGTTATGTACGTTTAAATAACTTCAAATGACAAAAATGCCCCTGTTTAGTTGGAGAACCAGACCTTTTGTTTTCATTTAGCATAGTTATTTACCTTATATAATACTGTTGTTTTATTATACATGTATGCCATAAAATTGGTCTTGAATACTTTTTTTCGTTTAGATTTACATTTTAAGAAGACATTGACATGGGTTATTCTGTTTAGACTGACATATATTTGTCGACTCCAACAAAAATCCTTGGCAACATATTTAAATATAATAAGGCCAAAAAAAAAAAAGCTTCTGCTTCCAATTACATGGTATTTGAAGGTAGGGTAGGTAGGTAGCAAAATTTTTGGGGGGCAATTTTTTGTGTACGATCATATGGAGGTGTCTGCATGTAGTCAAGGGTAAAGGGTAGTAATTGATGATTTTGGTTTTTTTCCCCTCATTTTTCCAAAAAAAAAAATTGGGGTAGGGGCTGTCAAAATAGGGTAGATAGGGTAACCGGAAGCAGAACTATTATTTTCTTTTGGCCTAATTTGGTAGTTTTGTTTTTTGATGTTTGCAAATGTTGTATATTCCCTTTAATTTACATGTGTATTTTAAAAACAATGAAGTGGACACAATAGGAGAATTTCTTCAATATAATGTGATATTTAAACAATATTTACTGGTTAATAGTGTTCTGCTAAATCGTACATGTTAGAATACTTGAAAATCAAGAAGCATACTTGTATGCTACTGGCCAACTCCTGTCCCCACAATGGGCAGGGTTAGAATTCCACCCAGGCTGGGCTAAACTGAGTTTTTTCGTCCCAATCTTGTACAAAAAAATGTTTTCTGGAAAACAGTTTTTGGTTGTCCCATCTCTATAAAATGTTTATACTATATTACATGTACCTTCTCTCTACCAATTTCTTCAGGCTTCCCAAGTCACACTATACCCCAAATTCTCCACCAGTATTTGGCCTCTGCTCTATCGTGGCCCCAAAACAAAAAATACATTCGAGGAAAAATTCAGGATGCAGATCCATTATCATCTAACCAGAGACGCCCTGCTGAATCTTATTAGAGAAAATATGTGACCTGTTCTGTCAAAAGCAGACGCTTCTGGGCAGAGGTTGAAATTGAGCTAGGGCCAAAAAAATGCTTTGGGGAATTTTTTTCGATTTTCAAATTTTTGCATATTTGTAATCTTGAACATGTCTAAGATATACTATAAAAGTTTGAAGCCCTAATTTGAACTTTAAATATAGTATTTTTGATGATTTGTTAAGGTGTATCAGTTAGAGAAATGTCACTTGAAGCAGGTCTTAAAATAGACCCCAAACTTTAACTGCCATTTTCTCCGTTTTCTAGTTTTCGACACAATAAACTTCAAAATAACATAACTTTGCCCGGGAATGACCGGTTTCAAAAATTAAACCACCTATTAAAGGGAAAATGTACATATTTTAATGCAAAAATCTCATTTAACACCTGATGCCCAGAAAAGTCTGATTTTGACAGAACAGGTCACATAAATAACAACAGAATACACTCAGTTTTGAACGTTGCATGATGATAGCGACTAAAACAAATGTTGGAGTTCAGAATAGAAGTTAACTTTTAAATTAAGAAAGTTTAGCTTGTGGTGTGTGAACTGTACTCCTTGCTTGTTCAAAGCTGGGCTAATTTACATGTCGTTCACAAAAGTCTTGAGTAGATACATACATGTACATATTGTATGGATAATGTATGCATATATGCATACTCTGCTGGAATGTTGAATTAAAATGAGAAAAGGTCAAACTGTTACTTGTGTTTTGATATTGTCGTTTGCATGTCAAACCCTACTATGCAACCACACATTCTGTGTAAAGTTGTCCTTGCAGTCAAAACTGTAACAGTAGGATTGAGTGGCTGTGACTGTTTGTGTAACTTGATACATCTATGCTTTTGACTGTAGGTGATTAATAAGTCAGCTGTGAAAATATTAATCCATATTTCTTTTGAAAATTTATGGACAAATGGGTTCCTGTATTGAAAAAAAAGGACTAACGCCAACAAAATAAAAGTTTGTTCCTATTTGGTGGGGATGGGTAAGAACATCTTTTTTTTGCTCTAAATGTTCATTATAGCTAGAAAAAAAGAGGTGGGATGATTTTCAATTATTTTTCTATTTATTTATTTGTCATGCATTCATAATCAGTTAGCATGTGAATCAACTGTTGTTGTAGGCTTCGCTGGAAAGTGCGGCGAGACCGCTTTGCCGACCAACTTACACAATATGAAATTAAAAAACTAGGGTGGAGGTGGCACCAAAATTTTTGATTTTATTCGATTTTTATTTTGGAATAGAAAAATTTAGGTTCCACATGATTTTCTAGGTTGGGTTGGGTAATAAGAAATTTTTTTTTTCGTGGCCACACGAATTTTCAAGGCACAAAACTTTTTTTGAGTTCAATAGTTGCTCAAATATTCCAAAGTTACAATAGTAAAAGGAAAGGTCTTGTGAAATACTTCAAAATCCACCCGATACTTATTTTGCCAATTTCATTTCCTATGATGAACAATGATAATGCCCTAATATCAATTACTAATGCTTAAGCCCATGTCGTTGCCTTAAAAAGCAAGCTAACTTTGAATGTCTTCCGGCAGTGGTGCACCCGAAGGGATGGGGGCTCGTGGGGCTTGAGCCCCCCCCCCCCCCCATGAGGTTGTCAATTTTTTTTATTTTTTATTTTTTTTTAGTCCCACGATTTGACCGTGGTGATATGTATGTGGCCTATTTTCGAGTACAATGTACTGTTGGCTTGTACCCACCGTCTGCAAACAGGACGCTGGGATACGCTGATGAGCTTCACAGAATCTTGTGAAGGAAGTGGCCTATGACCTATGTATAAAAGCATCTGGCTGCAGCTGTTCAACTTCAAGACCGCAGTTAGCCAATGCGCGAAAATGCGATCCGAAAACTCTCCCATAGATGCGTAAATTCCATAGCGGGTGAGATTTCTGTTTCATTGCGGACCATGTGGACAAATTTTGAGCGTCGCATTATATGCAATCTAACCCATCGTAAATTCGAAACGGAGCCTGAGCAAGTGACTAGAATTGAAAATTTACAAAACAGATACCGGTACGTTTTTACAGATTTTCCTACGTTAGCTTTTCAACGAATAAAGCATTTATGAATGGGAGTAAAAGAGTGATGACTCGGTCTTAACGGCCGTTTCAAACCTTGCTGAGTCGTGGCCGTGATGACTTGCAGGTCACATTTCATGCAAAATCTATCCAATCAGAGCATGAATTCATCAGCCTATCCCATTGATCGCGATTATGGGGGGGGGGGGGGGGG